AAACCAGTTTGCGCAAGATGGCAAGATCCTGTCAGTACAAAAAAATAATTTAAAAAATTAGCCAGACATGGTGGCGTGAGCCTGTGGACTCAGCCACTCAGGGGGCTGAGGCAGGAGGATCTCTTGAACCCAGAAGTTCGAGGCTGCAATGAGCTGTGAGCGTGCCATTGCACTCCAGACCGGATGACAGATAAGACCTCATCTGTTAAAAAAATATACACACAGCCGGACGTGGTGGCTCATACCTGTAATTCTAGCACTTTGGTAGGCCGAGACAGGCAGATCACTTGAGGTCTGGAGTTCAAGACCAGCCTGATCAACATGATGAAACCTTGTCTTTATTAAAAATGCAAACAAAAATTAGCCCAGCGTGGTGGCATGTGCCTGCAATCCAGGAGGCTGAGGCAGGCTTGAACCCGGGAGGCGGAGGTTGCAGTGAGCCAAGATTGCACCATTATACCCCAGCCTGGGCAACAGAGTGAGACTCCATATCAAAAACTAATTAAAAAAACAAACACACACACACACACAGACACATATACAAACACACACACATATAGACACATATACAAACACACACACACATATAGACACACACACATAGACACATATACAAACACACACACATATAGACACATATACAAACACACACACATATAGACACATATACAAACACACACACATATAGACACACACACACACACACACACACACATACACACACCGGTTCCAATGCCAATCCTCACCCCCATTTCCCTCTTGCCTCTTGCCCTTTGTAGTCAGTCCCTCTCTCTGTTCTAGTCCCTGGCAACTACCGATCTGTTTCTTGTTCCCATTGTTTTGCCTTTTCTGGAACAGCATCCTTCAAAAAGTGGCCTTGAGACCGGCTTCTCTCACTTAGCATAAGCATCTGAGATTCTGCCCCACTGCTGAGTGTAGTCCATTCCTTTTTATTGCTGTGTAGTATTTCATTTTATGAATGTACCACGTGTTTATACATTTGTCAGCTGAAGGCCATTTTAGTTGTTTCTAGTTTTTGGTGGTTAGAGATAGGGTCTTGCTCTGTTGCCCAGGCTGGAGTGCAGTGGCATGATCACAGCTACCTGGGGGACTGAGGTGGGTGGATCACCTAAGCCCAGGAGGCTGAGGCTGCAGTGAGCCATGATCACACCACTGTGTGACAGATACTCCAGCCTGGGTGACAGAGCAAGGCCCTGTCTCAATAACAGCAACAAAAAAAAGAGAGCTAAAAAAGAGAAAAGAGGCTGGGCATGGTGGGTCACTCCTGTAACCCTGGCACTTTAGGAAGCCAAGATGGGCAGATTGCTTGAGGTCAGAGACCAGCCTGGCCAACATGGCAAAATCTCATCTCTAGTTAAAATATAAAAAATGGGCCAGGCGCAGTGGCTCATGCCTGTAATCCCAGCATTTTGGGAGGTGGAGGCAAGCGGATCAAGAGGTCAGGAGTTCAAGACCAGCCTGGCCAACATGGTGAAACTCCGTCTCTACTAAAAATACAAAAATTAGCTAGGTGTGGCAGCACACACCTGTAGTCCCAGCTATGCTGGAGGCTGAGGCAGAATTGCTTGATCCCAGGAGGCGGAGGTTGCAGTGAGCCAAGATTGCACCATTGCACTCCAGCCTGATTGACAGAACAAGGCCCTGTCTCAACAAAAAATAAAGAAAAAAAAAGAGAAAAGAGGCTGGGTGTGGTGGGTCACACCTGTAATCCTGGTACTTTAGGAAGCCAAGATGGGCAGATTGCTTGAGGTCAGAGACCAGCCTGGACAACATGGCAAAACCCCATCTCTGGTAAAAATATAAAAATTGGGCCGGGTATAGTGGTTCATGCCTGTAATCCCAGCACTTTGGGAGGTGGAGGTGGGTGGATCATGAGGTTAGGAGTTCAAGACTAGCCTAGCCAACATGATGAAACTCCATCTCTACTAAAAATACAAAAATTAGCTAGGTAAAGGTGGCACACACCTGTAGTCCTAGCTATGCGGGAGGCTGTGGCAGGAGAATCACTTGAATCTGGAAGGCAGATGTTGCAGTGAGCTGAGATATTGCACCACTGCACTCCAGCCTGGGTTACAGAGTGAGATTCTGTCTGTTAAAAAAAAAAAAAAAAAAAAAAAAAAAACTGGGCCGGGTGCGGTGGCTCACGCCTGTAATCCCAGCACTTTGGGAGGCCGAGGCGGGTGGATCACGAGGTCAAGAGATCAAGACCATCCTGGCCAACATATGAAACCCCGTCTCTACTAATCTATAAAAAATTAGCTGGGCGTGGTGGTGCGCATCTGTAGTCCCAGCTGCTTGGGAGGCTGAGGCAGGAGAACTGCTTGAACCAGGGAGGCGGAGGTCACAGTAAGCGGAGATTGTGCCACTGCACTCCAGCCTGGTGCCTGGCAACAGAACGAGACTCTGTCTCAAAACAACAACAACAACAACAACAACAAAAAACTGTGCTCGCTTCGGCAGCACATATACTAAAATTTGAACCATACAGAGAAGATTAGCATGGACCCTGCGCAAGGATGACACACAAATTCGTGAAGCATTCCATATTTTTAGAGAGCCAAATCAAGAACGAACTGCCATTCACAATTGCTACGAAGAGAATAAAATACCTAGGAATACAACTAACAAAGGACGTAAAGGACCTCTTCAAGGAGAACTACAAACCACTGCTCAACGAAATAAGGGAGGACACAAACAGATGGAGAAACATTCCATGCTCATGGTTAGGAAGAATCAATATCATGAAAATGGCCATACTGCCCAAAGTAATTTACAGATTCAACGCTGTCCCCATCAAGTTACCAATGACCTTCTTCACAGAACTGGAAAAAACCACCTTAAACTTCATATGGAACCAAAAGAGAGCCCATATAGCCAAGTCAATTTTGAGCAAAAAGAACAAAGCTGGAGGCATCACACTACTGGACTTCAAACTATACTATGAGGCTACAGTAATCAAAACAGCATGGCACTGGTACCAAAACAGAGACATAGACCAATGGAACAGAACAGAGGCCTCAGAGGCAACACCACACATCTACAACCATCCGATCTTTGACAGACCTGACAAAAACAAGCAATGGGGAAAGGATTCCCTGTTTAATAAATGGTGTTGGGAAAACTGGCTAGCCATGTGCAGAAAGCAGAAACTGGACTCCTTCCTGACACCTTACACTAAAATTAACTCCAGATGGATTAAAGACTTAAACATAAGACCCTTCCTGACACCTTACACTAAAATTAACTCCAGATGGATTAAAGACTTAAACATAAGACCATAAAAACCTTAGAAGAAAATCTAGGCAAAACCATTCAGGACATAGGCATAGGCAAGGACTTTATGACCAAAACACCAAAAGCACTGGCAACAAAAGCCAAAACATCTAAATGGGACCTAATCAAACTCCACAGCTTCTGCACAGCAAAAGAAACAGTCATTGGAGTGAATCGGCAACCAACAGAATGGGAAAAAATTTTTGCAATCTATGGATCTGACAAAGGGCTAATACAAAGAACTAAAACAAATTTACAAGAAAAAAGCAAACAAGCCCGTTCAAAAGTGGGCGAAGGATATGAACAGACACTTTACAAAAGAAGACATATACGAGGCCAACAAACATATGAAGAAATGCTCATCATCACTGGTCATTAGAGAAATGCAAATCAAAACTACATTGAGATACCATCTCATGCTAGTTAGAATGGCGATCATTAAAAAATCTGGAGACAACAGATGCTGGAGAGGATGTAGAGAAAAAGGAACACTTTTACACTGTTGGGAGTGTAAATTAGTTCAACCATTGTGGAAGACAGTGTGGCGATTCCTCAAGGACCTAGAAATAGAAATTCCATTTGACCCAGTAATCCCATTACTGGGTATATATCCAAAGGACTATAAATCATTCTATAAGGACCCATGCACACGAATGTTCATTGCAGCACTGTTTACAATAGCAAAGACCTGGAACCAACCCAAATGCCCATCGATGATAGACTGGACAGGGAAAATGTGGCACATATACACCATGGAATACTATGCAGCCATAAAAAACAATGAGTTTGTGTCATTTGTAGGGACATGGATGAACCTGGAAACCATCATTCTCAGCAAACTGACACAAGAACAGAAAATCAAACACCGCATGTTCTCACCCATAGGCGAATGTTGAACCATGAGAACACATGGACACAGGGAGGGAAGCATCACACACTGGCGTATGTCGGGGGGATATAGGGAGGGACAGCAGCAGGGGGAGTTGGGGAGGGATAGCATGGGGAGAAATGCCAGATATAGGTGATGGGGAGGAAGGCAGCAAATCACACTGCCATGTGTGTACCTATGCAACAATCTTGCATGTTCTTCACATGTATCCCAAAACCTAAAAAGCAATTAAAAAAAAAATTAGCCGGGCATGGTGGCACATGCCTGAAACCCCAGCTACTCAGGAGGCTGAGGCAGGTGAACTGCTTGAACTAGGGAGGCAGATGTTGCAGTGAGCTGAGATATTGCGCCACTGCACTCCAGCCTGGGTTAGAGTGAGACTCTGTTTAAAAAAAAAAAATTAGCCAGGCATGGTGGCACATACCTATAATCCCAGCTACTCAGGAGGCTAAGGAGGGTGAACTGCTTGAACCAGGGGGCAGAGGTTTCAGTGAGCCAAGATCGCCCCACTGCACTCTTGCTTGGGTGACAAAACGAGACTCCGTCTCAAACAAAATACAACACAACAAAACACAACAAATCAAGAAAAAAGAGAGAGTCCTTTATATATTCTGGATGCAAGTCTTTTATCAGATATATGTTTTGCAAAGATTGTCTACCAATCTGTCTGCTTGTGTTTTCAATCTCTTATCAGGGTCTTTGGCAAAAAGCTTTGCTTAACCCCAAAATCACAAAGATTTTCTCCTGTTTTCCCCTAGGATTCTCAGTTTTATGTTTTACATTTTGGTCTCTGATGCATTTGGAGTGAACTTTGTGATAAGGTGCAAGGTCTACATTCCTGGGTTTGGCACACAGATGTCCAGTTATTCTAGCACCCTATGTGGGATATTTGCAGCTATTGTTAACACGGTCAGTACTCTCAAGGCTCCTGGGGTTCGGGGGGTCAGCAAGGGGACCTCTGGCCCAACTCTGCAGTTCAGCCTCCTGCTTCACATGCCCCTCAAACCTAACAGCTGGGCCTGTTGCCGTTGCTTGCTCACAGAAGACTTTGTTTCTGGTCCCTTTACCTCTTCTCTCTCTTCCTGAAATCTGCATAAAACAAACCATGAAAGGGCAGGGTGGCCTCGCGGTCTGGCAACGTCCCTTTGAAAATAAACAAGTGCAGAAACTGAAAGGCAGCAGCTACCTCTGGGGACTACTCGGGAAAGAGTTCAGGGCCGGTGCATCCGCCGCGCGTGGCTCTCTTGCCCTGGCCCGGCGGCAGGTCGGATGCGGAAAAACCGAACAGGATCCTGATTGCTTCAGATGTCGCTTCTGGCCAGAGACCCCGCTGCCTCTGCAGCAAGCACCTAATTGTATGTAGGGGGTGTGGGTAGAAGAGTGTCAGGACTGAACAGCCCTCAAAGGTTTGTACAGTTTTCCTCACAGGTCCAGATCTAATTGGTTCCCACACAACCCTGGGAGGTGGGCAGGTCAGGGACAGTTCCCTTCGTCTTACACATAGGAAACATGAGGCTCAGAAGGGTGAAGAAATAGATGGGTGTGGGTTTTGAATTTTTATTTTTGAGTCAGAGTCTCACTGCGTCACCCAGGCTGGAGTGCAGTGGCGCAATCTGGGCTCACTGCAACCTCTGCCTCCTGGGTTTAAGTGATTCTCCTGCCTCAGCCTCCCGAGTAGCTGGGATTACAGGCCCCTGCCAACATACCCAGCTAATTTTTATATTTTTAGTAGAGACAGGGTTTCACCATGTTGACCAGGCTGGTCTTGAACTCCCAACTTCAGGTGATCCACCCACCTTGGCCAGCTTCCCAAAGTGCTGGGATTACAGGCGTACCATGCCTGGCCACTCGGCTAACTTTTGAATTTTTAGTTGAGACAGTTTCACCATATTGCCCAGGCTGGTCTCGAATTCCTGACCTCAAGTGATCTGCCTGCCTTGGCCTCCCAAAGTGATGGATTTACAAGCATGAGCCACTGTGCCAGGCCTTTTTTCCCTTTTTTTTTTTAAGATAAGTTCTTGTTCTTTTGCCCAGGCTAGAGTGCAGTGGAACAATTTTGGCTCACTGTGCTCTTCAACTCCTGGGCTCAAGTGATCCTCCCACCTCAGCCTCCTGGGTAGTTGGGACTAGAGGTGTGTATCACATGCTTGGTTAATTTTTAAGTTTTTTCTGTAGAGATGGGGTTTGGCTATGTTGCCCAGGCTGGCCTTGAACCCCCGGCCTCAAGCAATCCTCCAGAATTTATAATTCTCCCCACCCCATCGGCTGGAAATATCTAAAATGTCCAAAGAATGGATAGCACATTGTAGTACACTCACCCCATGGAGTTTTTCCAGCAATGAGAATGAATGGCATTCGCTCTCACACACCAGTGTTGAATCTCACAAATATTGTGTTGAGTGAAAGAAGCTAGACACACAAGAGCACATACTACATCATTCTGTGAATGCGAAGCTCGAAAATAAGCCAAAGAAATGGGTGCAGGTAAAGTCAGGGTAGCAGCCACACTTAGCAGGGCGATGACTAGACCGGGACAGGAAGGTACTCTCGTGGCAAGATGGCTGGAGAGGGTATTCCTCCTGCAGTCCAGGAAGTAAAAATTGCGTTGCTGAAAGATTGTTTGTCTCAGTGCTAATTTTTCTTTGCAACACTGAGCGTCTATTACCAACAGAAGGGGACTTGGGATTAGTGCTGTTCTGTTTATTGATCCAGGTGCAAGTCACGCAGGTGTGTAGTGGGTGAAAAATCATTGAGCTACACCCTTACATGTTGATTAAAAATTCAGGGCTGGGTACAGTGCCTCATGCCTGTAATCCCAACACTTAGTGAGGCCAAGGTAGGAGGATCACTTGAAGCCAGGAGTTTAAGACTAGCCTGGGCAACATGGCAAAACCCAATCTCTACAAAAAATCCAAAAAATAAAAATAAAAAAATTACCTGCCCATTGTGGCACGCACCTGTGTGGTTCCAGCTGCTCAGGACCCTCATTCAGGGTCTCACACTGTCACCCAGGCTGGAGTGCAGTGGCGCCATCAGGGTTCCCTGCAACCTCGATCTCCCAGACTTTTGTTATTCTCCCACTCAGCCTCTCAAGTTAGCTGGGACCACAGGTCAGTTTATGGGCTTACTGAAAAGTAACCCCATTGTGAATTGAAGAGCATCTGTACTCGACTCTGTTGTTGTATGGTGAAAGCAGCCAGGAACAATATGTAAATGAATGAGCATGGCTTGTTCCAATAAAACTTTATTTTTAAAAAAATCAGGCAGGCGGTGGCATGCACGTGTAATCCCAGCTATTCTGATGGCTGAGGCACAAGAATCACTTGAACCCGAGAGGCAGAGGTTGCAGTGAGCTGAGATTGCGCCACTGCAGCAATCTCAGCCAGCCTGGGCAACAGGAGCAAGACTCCGTCTCTAAATAAACAAACAAATAAAAAACAAGTGGTCAGCCAGATTTGCTGATTCCTGCTCTGCTGGAAGACAGGCTGGGTTCCGAAGCCTCCTTCACTGAGTCCCTACAGGACCCTGTTCAAGTCGCTTCCCTGGCCTGAGTTATCCTTTCTGTAAATCGGGAGGCTGATTCCCTGCTCTAAACTACCCTTTGGGGTTGCCAGGAGGTCAGATGAGCTCATCACAGAGGGAGCCTAGAGGGAGAAAAGAGCAGGATTAAGAGCCTCTTGAGGTTCTCTGAAGCAAAGCAGATTGCTTTTTCTGCCTAGGTCTGGAGAGAGAAAGCCATTGACCTCAAGTCACCCAGTGCATCCATGGGCACAGAGTGCCAGGGGCATCCCAGAGGGAGACAGGACCCACAGGCTTGGCAGTAGATCCTGGTCCTTGCCACCCTGAGTCTTTCCCCAACCCCACCTGTGGAGACACAACAGTGGAAGAGAGACTGTAAAATGAGTCTCTAATAGGCTGTTCCTTTGAGCCCCTGGCCAGAAGCTGTTTGGGTCTGCTTTAATGACTGAGCAGCCAGTGCCCAGGGTAGGGACATGTTGTCTGACCTCTAGCTCTCTGCTCAGTCAGGCACGTCTTTCCTTCCTGTTCTCGGGAGGGTTTATCCCACAAGGCCTGACTCAGGCTGTGTCGCATCTGGGGTGTGCTGTGGCGATTACTCCAGTGTCAATCACTTGGGGAAGAGGCGGGTCTTCAGAGAGTAAAGCCTACTGAGGGCAAACCCAAGGTAACCCAGAGTGGGCCGTTCTTCTCTTCCCTGTGCCTCTTGCCCTCGGAACTGGTCTTCTGAAGCTAGAGGTGCGTGAGGATAATAATTATAAAGTAGCAGCTAACATTTGAGATTCACCATGTGCCAGGGCCTGCCTTGAGTGCTTTACACGTATTCATTTAATCCTTACAACAACCTTAGTAGGCATCATACAGATGAAGAAACGGACCCAGAGAGGTTAAGATACTTGCCTGGGGTCACACTGCTCGGGAGTGGTGACGCTCCGTATGTTGGAAGACTACAGATGGGGATGCTTCACTGGTCCAAAACAGGGCCATATGGACGAGTGGGGGCTCACGTGGGGTAAGACCCAGTGAAATGTGCCTAAACCATCAAGGGGATTTATTGGCTCACAAAACAGAGACGTTTAGGGCGAGTGCTGGCTTCGGGGCCAGCTGGGGCCAAGGCTCAAATGCTGCCCTCAAAAAGCACACACTCACTGTCTTTCAGACCTTTCCTGTGCTGCTTTCATTCTCAGGCCGACTCCTCCACACGTGGAGGGAAAAATGGCCGCAGGCCTCCATTTGAGCAACTCCAGATGCTCCAGCAGAATTCTTTCCCACCAGTTCCCACAGAAACCTCAGGGCTGACTCTCATTGGGCCACGTGCTCATCCCTGAACCAATTGGGGTATCCAGGAGGCGGGACCATAGTGATTGGATAGGACTGGGTCACATGGCCACCCTGGGATAGGTGCCCGCCCCACTTATGGTCTGGGGAGGGAGGGCGACCCCTATGGGAAGAATAGGGAAACAGAACTGGATAGACAAGGTCAATGGATGTTTAATCCGAGGCTTTGGAGGAAACATGCATTCTTCACTCAGGAGTGAGAGAGGGAAGTTGGACTTGACCTTTAGGGTCTGCCCCACCACGGACCTCTGTGACACTTGTTGCCTTGGCATAGACCAGAACTTTGACCTGAGCCTTCTCTGTCTACCTTCCCAAACTTATCCCTTCCCCACCCCACCTCCCTGCCTACTGACCGCCTTCACGTTGCCTGGGGGCACGTGGGCCCTGTTGCCAACTGCTGGCCCCCTGCTTGGCCTGTTGTTCCAGTTCCCTAGTTGCCCTGCTCCCACCTCCAGCCTGGTCTTTTCCAATCCATGCTATTCATTGGCAACACGATCCCTAGTCCAGCAGAGCCTTGGCTCAGAAGCCTCCAGCCACTCCTTTGCGTCAAAAAAGAAAACAAGCTGCTTAGTCCCATGTCTGGTATTCCTCTGGTGTCCTAGGAGATCCCCTGACCCCTGCCCATCGGAATGTCTGTATCCCCCAATTCCAAATTGTGGTCGGCACCGTAATGCAGTGGGGCTCACTTACCTGCCTGGGGGTTAAGGGTCAAGTTTGAGTCATTGCTGTCCAGGGCCCAGCACAGCTCAACCAATTCCTGCAAAGCCCACGTTTCTAGCTCCTGGGCATGACTGCTCCTCGAGGAAGGGAGGTGGGAGAGGAAATTAGGCCGCTTCAGTGAGAGACACAGAGGAAGTTACATGGAAAAAACTGAGAAACAGTGATCTAGGCGGGTGGAGACATGGGAGGTGGGGGAAAGGGCAGGAGAGATGAGGGAGGGATGCTCATCCAGAGAGCAAGAGCTGGGAACAGACATGCAGAGGGGACAGAAAGGAAGCGCGGGAACGTGTGCCAGCTCAGGCATTTTTTCCTTAAGTAAACAAGGCCTGTATGATTTGTGTTTTGTCAAGCTGAACTTTCCATATCAGGAGTTTATTTAGCTGAGCAACCAGTTCTGTTAAAAACACTGGAACATGTTAGGAACGGGTAGGGAGGAGAGCCAGACAGAACAAACGGGAGAGAGCATCTGCCTGCAGGCCAGGCCAGGCACAATGTGGCTTGGCCCAGACCGCTGACTTGACACCCCCACCCCTGCCAGCTCCCTTTAGGGGCTGAGCCAGGGCTGGGTGAGGCTGGACAGAGGTGGGGAAGTCAACTTGGGGGAGAGTCTGGGCCGAGAGGGACAGGGCCCTGGGAAAGGTCCGGTTCTAGCCCCACTATGTAAGTCACTAGAGGCCATTAGGACAAGTCAAGCCAAGGTTGCAGTCCACTCATGCACTGACGCCCCTGAGTCCCTACCACAAGCCAGAGCCTTCTCAGACAGGGAAACCAAAAACATGTCCCTGCTGGAACCCAGGCCTCAGGATAGAGGGATCAGGTGTGGCTTTTTTTTTTTTTTTTTGAGATAGAGTCTTACACTGTTGTCCAGGCTAGAGAGCAGTGGTGCGATCTCAGCTCATTGCCACCTCTGCCTCCCAGGTTCAAGTGATTCTCCTGCCCCTGCCTCCCAAATAGCTGGGATTACAGGTGGGTGCCACCATGCCTGGCTAATTTTTGTATTTTTAGTAGAGACAGGGTTTCATCATGTTGGCCAGGCTGGTCTCAAACTCCTGACCTCACGTGATCCACTCTTCTTGTAATCAAAGTGCTAGGATTACAGGCATGAGCCACTGAGTTTGGCCTCAGGTGGGGCTTTTAACCTGGGGTCCTGACCGGGCATGAGAGCCCCATAAGGGACTGTCCTGCTGCTTCCTCTCCTGCACAAGGTGGCTGACAATACCTGACCACAGAAAGGAGGGACTAGTGGCTTGCCTGGCATCCAGCTGGTGCTTAATAATGGCAGCTCTCATGACTGTGGAATGCAACAATTCCTGTGTGCAAGGAACTCATGTGTCTTGTAGCATCAGGGCCACATGGCTGTGCAGGAGAGGCTGGAGCAGCCAGTGAGGGACACCATCACCATCAATCTGACTTGACTCCTATTTACAACACAACAAAATCAAAATTCAGGATTTGAAATTTTTATTTTCTGAAATGAAACCATTGTACATTGTACAAACCATATCTACTGATGGAATAAATAAGTGAAAAATTATACTGCTGTACAACACACCAAAAAAAAAATATTGAGGGGGGGGAAAATTAGGTAACGGTGAAAAAAGGTCTTTACCCCTCTAATCAGGTCCTCAGCGATAATGAACATTCCAAACCATGACACCGTTTGCTAATGGGAGGTCACCGCCCTAGAGGAATCGGCCCACAGCCTTCCGGGTTGTGGGTGTAAGTGCCAGCACTTGTGGAATGTGTAGCCGCAGCTTCCCCGACTTCAAGTTTTGAGGGGAATTAGGTTTGCCCTGGGAGCCCTTGAGGCCACGGGGCCTGATGTCCACGGAAGGCTTTTGCTGGGGATCCCCCGCCCCTGGCTCGAAGCTGAAAGGTCTTAGATTCTGTGGTGGGGGAAGGGCGAGGGGTGCAGGGTGGGTGGGGGGCAGCGGCTCGGAGGAGCGGCTGCGCCAGGGAAGGAAGCACATGGGATTTTTGCAGTCTCGTCATTCTGCGTGGAAGGCCTTCTTGGCCAGCGTGGAGTGCAGGGCTGCTGGCGCTTTGCCTGGCGTGGCCGTGGCGGGGCCCAGCTGGTCCCGATCGCCGGCCCATTCCTACCTTCAGGCACTTCAGAGAAAAACTAGTGACAGCCTGGGGACGGTGGACGTCGTCTGAGTCCTCACCTGCGCCAACTCCCCTTACCAGTCCAGAGAGGCCGCGGCAAGCGGCAGGGCCACCTACGCCTGTGTCTGTGGATGTGTCTGTTTCATTCTCCTTCAGCTGTCTTGGTTGTAGCCTCTCATTTCCCAAAAAAGAAAAGGAAATAAATATCCAAATTCATCTCTCACCAAGATGGAGTTTCGCTGCAAAGACAACGTGACTCCACGGGATCTGGAGGTCACGCCGCCTTGAGATGCATGGAGAGGAACCGCATCAGGTACGCAGTTCTCAACAAAACTAACCGCCTACGGGGCAAAAGGGATAAGTACAGGAATTTTCTTTTTAAGACAGAAACCTTTCGGCATTGCTCACTTCAACATTAAGATTTTCAAAGTTGTTTTTTTTTTTTTTTTTTTTTTCCCTTATTTCAGGAGACATTTTGCATGAGGTATTTGAAATTCAGGAACATTTTGATTCTTCTTGAAGTGCAGGAAATAGACAGGATCCCTTAAAAAAAATAAGAGCCTCACCCTCAGAAACTCTTAGAAAATGGAATCCGGCAGACACTTCCCGTGATGGTCAGGAGAAAGAGCCACACATCAAGGTGGTACCTGAATATGCACCAATTAGCCCCAGAAAACAAAACCCGCAACCCCCACCCCCCCAGTAACACACAACTCAAAGGGAGTCAGAACTCCAGTGCAGTAAAGAAAGCTTAGGAAAAGGTTTAAGGTCTGAGGAGTCCATATATTCATTAAGAGCAAACCAGGCCTCAGAACCAAACGATTAGGCAGTTCGTCCTCGGGGCGTCCCATTGGGTGAGAGGAAGCCGAGCCAGCGCAGGTGTGGGGTGGGAGGGAGGGGAGACCATCTCTCCTTTCTGGAGGGTGTGCAAATCTTTCCAATTCCTCAACGCCTTGTTTGTGGCCTTCAAGGCCCAGCCATCAAGGCCCACTCCCCGGTGGGGACCGACGGCACGTTCTGGGGATGAGACATGGTCCAGCTGTTGGCTCTGAGAGTCAGAACAGCCTACGAATGGGAAAGCACGTGGATTCTGACCGCTGTGATCCTGCCTCTTGGGGCGTGGGCTGGGGCATCAGGGGAGGCGGAGGGCAACAGGTGACTGTGGATTTGAAATCCAGGCGACGTCCTATGAGAGAAAGTTCAGCACCAGCTAATCCTGCCGCCAGCTCCCAGCCTCCCCGGCATACTCAGTGCCTTCAGGAGACAGCCTGCAGTCAGCCAGAGAAGCCATTTTGTATCCAGAGGTCTGGGAGAAAGCAGTGATGGGGTGGGGGTGGGGGTGAGGGCAAGAGAGAGGAAGTGCCAGAAAATTCCAAGGGCTTTGCATGTCCATCTAGGCTCGGAGATGCCGAGCCCTAAAGGCCCCAAGGAAGGGAGGGCACAGTGGGTACCCAGCCTGGACCAAGGTGCAGAGCCCTTGGGGACTATGCCTGGCACCTGCGCGTCCTTGGGCCCTGGTGCCTGATGCTTGGGGCGTGCATAAGGTCCCGTGCACCTGAAAACCAGGTGGGCTAAGGAGCTCCCCTCCTCCACCCTGCCTGCTCCGATCAAGTCCTGGGGCAGGGAGGAGAGCGGTGAGAAGGATGGCAGCTGCCTCCCGAACCAAACCACGAGGGCACTTTGCAGAGGGGAGATGCAAAATCCACCAGGATACATGCCAGAGGTCACCTCAAGGGCACAAGGCACAAAAAAAGAAAGCGGAAGGAATTGGTTGAACAGTGAAAAGCCCCGCCGGAAAGCGTTCCTGATCGGTACCACCCTCCAATAGCTTATATCGTTACATAGAGAAGTGGGAAAAAATACAGCAGCAACACAAATGGGATCCTGGCTTCCGAGCAGTGTGCAGACACTCCTGAGCTGCCGCCCCACCGCCTCCCCAAGGACGGTCCCTTAAAGGTTTGAGGGTTTTGCTTCACAGCAGAGAGTTCTTCAGTGTCTGAGAAGTTCCGCCGTTCTGGGTCTTCTTGGATTTGCACTTGGTAAACTTGAAACGTTAGTAGTTCTGTTCGTACCCAAGAGGAATCGCTCGGGCAAAGTTGCTCTAGAATTAATTGCTGATGTACCTTCCATGAAACATGGATCGGAGGCTTTCAAGCAATGTCTACATCTCTTCCGAGTTTTGTTGAGAGGCCTCTAGTTTCATCTTTTTAGAGGGTGGCACTCCTTCCAGATCCTTGGGGAGAGAAGAAAACGGGAACATAGGTTAATATGCCAGGAGAGCAGGTGAGGCCAGGTGTGAGGCTGACGGTCAGCCCAGGAAGGAACCGAGGGAGCGCAGCTTTGTGGTTCAGACCAGCAGTTCTGGACCCGGGGTCCAAGCATGGACTCCAGAGGGTTCGAGGACCTATGGAGACCCTCACACCTGAACTTCTCCTGGAGCTAGGGAGCCCAGTGTCCCCTGGCCCCTGCCTGGCCCTACCACATACCAATGGCTGGTAACTCAGGAGCGTTTCCTACACCGCTGCCTGGGACTCCAGGCCCTTCCACTCATTCAGACTGGTCCAGGAGTTCCTGTCATCAATCTTCCCGTCTGTGATTAACTGCTAGGATGATTATAGTTTCAAGTTTATCTTTCTAAGTTCTTTTGTTGTTGTTGAGATGGAGTCTCGCTCAGTCACCCAAGCTGCAGTGCTGTGGCACGATATTGGCTCACTGTAACCTCCGCCTACTGAGTTCAAGTGACTTTCCTTCCTCAACCTCCCAAGAAGTTGGGATTAGAGGTGTGCACCACCATACCTGGCTAATGTTTTGTATTTTTAGTAGAGATGGGGTTTCACCATGTTGGCCAGACTGGTCTCAAACGCCTGGCCTCGGGTGATCTGCCCGCCTCGGCCTCCCAGAGTGCTGGGATTACAAGTATGCTATTTTTTTTTTTTTTGTATTTTTGGTACAGACAGGGTTTCACCATGCCTCCATGTTCCGCCATGTTGGCCAGGCTGGTCTTGAACTCCTGACCTCAGGTGATCTGCCGGCCTTGGCCTCCCAAAGTGCTGGGATTACAGGCATGAGCCACTGTGCCAGCTTTTTCAACTCGTTTTTACACTTTTTTTTAGAGATAGAGTCTTGCTTTGCTGCTCAGGCTGGGGTACAGTAGCCATCATAGCTCACTGCAGCCTCAACTTCCTGGGCTCAACAGATCCTCCCGCCTCCGCAGTATGTGCCACCATGCCCAGCTAATTTTTTAAAAAAGTTTTTTGTAAAGATGAAGTCTTGCTATGTTGCTCAGGCTGGTCTCAAATGTCTGGGCCCAAGCAATCCTCCTACCTCAGCCTCCCAAACTGCTGGGATTATAGGTGTGAGGCATGGGGCCTAGCAATCTCTCCAAGTTCTAAGGCTGTATCTCAAAGGCTCAGACGCACTCTGCCACCTTGCTCCTCCAGGGCTGGGCACAATGCCTGGCCTGGACTCTCAGCATTTGCTGGGTATACACATGTGTGTGTGCGTGTTATTCTGAGGGAAAGGGTCTGTAGTTGTCACTGAATTCCCAAGAAACCCAGGACCCCAAGAAAGGTTTAACACTCACTCATCCATCTTACATCGTCTTGGCATCTCAAACCTAACCTGTCACCTGAGACCAAACTCCTGGCTGCACCCATCCTAACTGGCACTCCCCATAAGCCTGGGAGAAAGCCCCAGGCCTGGACAGCCCCCTGAAGCCCCTCCCCACCTGCACCTGACTGGCCTCTGGCCTGGCTGATGTCACAGCCTCCTTGTGGCCAATGGCGTGGCCCCAGCAACCTTCCTCCGGCAGAAACCACACGCAAAATACAAAGCACTCCACCACTTTGCTACTGACTTCTGAAGAAACCCAGCTCCTCGCCAGGACCGAGAAGGCCCTAGTGACCAGCCTGGCCCACTTCTTCTTCCCACATCTGGCCACTGTCTTCCTCCCCCACCAGGTTCTCACCTCCCTGGCCACTCAGGCCTCTCTTTTGTTCTTCAAGCTGGCTCCTGTCTTGAGGTCTGTGCACTGTCTTGGTCTGCCCCTGCCTGGAGAGCCCGCCGTCCCAGCCCTGGGCACTCCTTCATGTCAGCACCGCTGATGCCAGCTACAGCGCTCTCTACCCACGGCCTGTTCTGCTTTTTCTTTTTTTTGAGATGGAGTCTTGCTCTTGTCACCTAGGCTGGAGTGCAATGGCACGATCTTGGCTCACCACGACCTCCGCCTCCCGGGTTCAAACTATTCTCCTGCCTCAGCCTCCTGAGTAGCTGGGATTGCAGGCGCCCGCCACCACGCCTGGCTAATTTTTGTATTTTTAGTAGAGACGGGATTTTCCATGTTGGCCAGGCTGGTCTCGGACTCCTGACCTCGTGATCTGACATCGGTACAGGCTTGAGCCACCGCACCTGGCCCCTGTTCTGCTTTTCCATGTCACCCTGTGCCACTCTCTTACGGCACTTAGTGGGACTCTGTGACTTGCTTGTCTGCTTATCCTGGCCCTACTGTCAGCCCCATCATGGCAGCGAGGGACTAGGTACAGCCCCTGCACAGTGGGTGCTCAGAGATACATGTTGCAGGGGAGTAGGATGTGCAAGGGACTAGCAGATATGGTTATGTAAGCCCCTTCTGGGGGATGCTGGGAGCAGGGAACACATGGAGCCAGGAAGGCTGCCTGTCTGTATTCTCTCTCCTTTTTTCTGTATGTATTTGGAGACAGAGTCTTGCTCTGTTGCCAGGCTTGAATGCTGTGGCGCGATCTTGGCTCACTGCAACTTCCACCTCCTGGGTTCAAGTCATTTTCCTGCCTCAGCCTCCCGAGTAGCTGGGATAACAGGTGCAAATCACCACATCCAGCTAATTTTTGTATTTTTAGTAGAGATGGGGTTTCACTATGTTTCAGGATGGTCTCGATCTCCTGACCTTGTGACCCAACCATCTGGGCTTCCCAAAGTACTGGGATTACAGGTGTGAGCCACCAGGCCTGGACCTGTATTTATTTTTTTGAAACAGGGTCTTACTCTGTCACCCAGGCTGGAGTGCAGTGGTGTGATCACAGCTCACTGCGGCCTTAACTCTCAGGCTCAAGCGATCCTCCCGCCTCCGCTTCCAGAGTAGCTGGGACTATAGGCATGCACCACTAGGCCTGGCTAATTTTCTTTCTTTTTTTGGAGAGATGGGGAACTTGCTATGTTGCCCAGGCTGGCCTCCAACTCTTGGCCTCAACTGATCCACCTGCCTCAGCCTCCCAAACTGCTAAGTTTACAAATGTGAGCCACTGCACCTGGCCAAAAATGTATTGCTTGAAATGTCAGACTGCCTGCTTTACTGGAATACATCTTCCATCTCACTCACACCCCGAGCTCCGTAGGACAGTATGTGTGTCTGTGAAAATGATGGAAGAGGCCCAATTTCAGGTCTGGGTCTCCTGGAAGCAAGAACAGGGGTATAGTAGGGGCAATGTGAGAGATTGGGGGCTCCTGGCATTTCCAGGCACTGTGGGGAGCACTGGATACTCTTGGGGTGTGGATCAAAGTTTCAAGCTGAGCTTTTCTCCACTGAGCTCAAGAGGCCCAGAGATCCCAGCTGACAACCTTGGTCTTCCTATAAAGCCAGGCTTTGGCTTCTGCTGTTTTGAACCAGATGGGCTCATGCTACGCCTGCGGTTCTGCAGCTTGCTTTTCTCACTGCACACTGCAAGAACGTTTATCATAACCTGGAAGGCCCAACCATGCTCTTCTAAACAGCTGCACCCTAGCCTGTCTCATGCAAGATCCCAGATTTCTCTTTTTCCTTTTGAGACGAAGTTTCGCTCTTCTTGCCCAGGCTGGAGTGCAGTGGCGCGATGATGGTTCACTGCAACCTCCGCTGCCCGGGTTTAAGCCATTCTTCTGCCTCAGCCTCCCGAGTAGCTGGGATTACAGGTGTGCTACACCCGGCTCATTTTGTATTTTTAGTATAGATGGGGTTTCTCCGTGTGGGTCAGGCTGGTCTCAAACACCCAACCTCAGGCGATCCACCTGCCTCAGCCTCCCAAAGTGCTGGCATTGTAGGCGTGAGCCTCCGTGCCCAGCGACCCCAGATTCCTGTAAGCAACTCCTTTGCACTAAGGCATGTGGAGAGGGTTCTGCAGGGTGAGTTCTTAGAAAGGGAGCTGCCCATCAAAGGGTTTAAAGATTTTGAAGTGGCTGGGCGCGGTGGCTCACGCTTGTAATGCCAGCACTTTGGGAGGCTGAGGTGGGCGGATCATTTGAGGTCAGGATTTGACAGCAGCCTGGCCTACATGGTGAAACCCCATCTCTACTAAAAATACAAAAAGCAGCCAGGCATAGGGATAGGCACCTGTAATTCCAGCTACTTGGGAGGCTGAGGCAGAAGAATCGCTTGAACCCAGGAGGTGGAGTTTGCAGTGAACTGAGATCATGCCACCGCACTCCAGCCTGGGTGACAGAGCGAGACTCCATCTCAAAAAAACCAGAGTCTAGAGGATTTTTTTTTTTTTTTTTGAGACAGAGCGTTGCTCTGTTATCCCAGCTGGAGCACCGTGGCACAGTTCTGGCTCACTGTAACCTCCGCCTCCCAGGTTCAAGTGATTCTCCTGCCTCAGCCTCCTGAGTAGCTGGGACTGCAGGCACACACCACCATGCCTGGCTAATTTTGTTTTTTTTTGAGACGGAGTTTCGCTCTTGTTACCCAGGCTGGAGTACAATGGCGCCATCTCGGCTCACCGCAACCTCCGCCTCCTGGGTTCAGGCAATTCTGCCTCATCCTCCTGAGTAGCTGGGATTACAGGCACGCACCACCATGCCCAGCTAATTTTTTGTGTTTTTAGTAGAGACGGGGTTTCACCATGTTGACCAGGATGGTCTTGATCTCTTGACCTCGTGATCCACCCGCCTTGGCCTCCCAGAGTGCTGGGATTACAGGTGTGAGCCACCGTAATTTTGTATTTTTAATAGAGACAGGGTTTCACCATGTTGGCCAGGCTGGTCTCAAACTCCTGACTTCAGGTGATCTGCCCGCCTTGGCCTCCCAAAGTGCTGGAATTACAGGCGTGAGCCACCACGCCCAGCTGAGTCTAGAGGATTTACAGTGAAAAATTCTAATGGTGGTCGTGGCCAATGACGCTTCGGTATCTTGTGTCCGCTCAATGCTAAGTGTTTACCCACGTTCTCCCATCGAATCCTCACAGTGGCCCCAGGACAGTTCTGTGATCCCATTTTGGGAGTTGGGATTCAAACTTGGGCCTGACTCTGGGAAGCTTGCTCTTTACCACCAGGCCCACTGCACCTGCACTGACTCATTCAGACCAGATTCCAGCACAGTTCTGACCTGGAGAGGGGCCCGTGCCATGCCAGCGGGGTCAGCAGCACCATTCCACAGGATGCCCCCCACTTAGGTTTCCAAAGTCTTATCTTCCCAGCTCTAAACCTCACTGATTTGGGGGTCACTGAGATGAGGCAATGCTTGTGAGCCCGAAGAGACAAAACGCAAAAGCTGAGGCTAGGTTCAAGGTCCTTCCTCCTCCTCTGACCCAGAGGCTCCTTGAGGGCAGAGGCCACAAGGTGCATTATCCCTTGGCCCCGGAGCCCAGGGCAGGGCACAGGACTGTGTTCATGGACATCGCCCAGTAGACAAATGACAGTTTCAACAGTCCAGCGATAAAACAGCAAAACACAACAACGAAACGCCTTTCAACGTACCCCCAACAACCCAACGGGCTCACGGCCGATCTGGCTGCCCCTCTGAGACCTCGAGCGAGGTACCTGAGAGATTGCAGACGTCTCTGTGGCCAGACCCGTGTCTCCAGACTGCTGCCGGTCTACTTTCTCTGAGCTGTTCATTGAATGTTCCATCGAGGACTGTGAGTTCTGCTCATCAGAAGCGTCTGCAGGAAGAGCAAGACGACAGGAGCGGTTTTCAGACATGTCAGAGGCAGGGCCAGGCAGGCCAAATACTAAAAATACCGTGAACCGGGTAGTTTTGGGGCCAGTGTTCTTTGAAGGCTACAATGAGCTGGGGGCCCGAGGAGTCTCTTGCTGATTTTTCAGTGGCGCAGTTTCCAGCAGCCAGGCCACACACTTAGCTGCCAGGGGCTCTGGGAGGCGAACGGAGGAGGCTGCAGTCTCCGTGCTGCGTGCACCCAGCACCCCCTGGCGGCCGCAGTGCACACCAACAATCATGGCTGTCAATTCCTCTCTCCCGAAGCCAACGTGGCTTCGTCCTCCTCCTTTAAAGGGCCTGCCTTCTCCTCCTGGGGAACATCAGAGGTAACTGACCTTTTGTAAACATATCTCTTTATAATATATGTATTTTTTCAATTGCCAGAGCAATGACTGATCATTGCAGGAAACAGAAAAGTACAGGAAAAAAAAAGTTAAAAATCACCTGTCACCACCCAGGCACCACCCCACTAATGCTTTATGATTTATTTAATGATTTATTCCCATTTTTGCAGTTTTTTCTCCCTACATGCATACAATTTTTCTCCTCTTCCCAAATGGGGATCACATGGTATTTCGGAGGAGTTTTTCATGTCTTTAAAGATTCTTTAAATATCAGAGCTTACAAGATGGCTGCACAGCATTCCATCAGGCAATTGAATTGCCTGTAGAATGAACGCAGTTATTTGGGTGATTCTTCATGCCTCAGTCTTCCTGCTGCTCCACTCCATGTTTCTTCAGCAGAAGGAAGGGGCAGGCTGGGTGGGGCAGGGGGTAGGTGCAGCTTGGGAGGAGGCAGCAGTTTTTCCTAAAGCTTACTGGGCACGGGGCGGGACACTTGTGAAGGGGGCAGCAAAAATCCTACCCAAGGCACCGACACCACGTTACCCTGATATTAAAAAGCACACTAAACTGGTCGGGTGCAGTGGCTTACTCCTGTAATCTAGCACTTTGGGAGGCTGAGGTGGGCAGATTGAGACCACCCTGGCCAACATGGTGAAACCCTGTCTCTACTAAAAATACAAAAATTAGCTGGGCGTGGTGGTGCACACCTGTAGTCCCAGCTACTTGGGAGGCTGAGGCAGGAGAAACACTTGAACCTGGGAGGCAGAGGTTGCAGTGAGCCAAGATCACGCCACTACACTCCAGCCTGGTAACTGGGCAAGACTCCATCTCAAAAAAAAAAAAAAAGGCACACTAAGCTAATCCTAAAGACCTAAAAAGTGCTTGTGCAACCAAGACTTCCTCGCTGGGGTTTCTGAGGCAGAGGAATAACAAAGAGGAAAATAACCCACACTGGAGTTTAAAAGCAAGCAGGCAAGATGGGAACAAGGGGAAACAGTGCAGGGCCTGGGATGGGCCAGGGCACAGAAGGCGGGGAGCAGAATCGCAAGGCCCTCCTTTCCAGCAAGGCTGAGCAGGGTGACACTATCATTTCTCAGACTAGGAGCCCTGGCTGGGCATGGTGGCTCATGCCTGAAAACCCAGCACTTAGGAAGACCAAGGCAGACAGATCACTTGAGGTCAGGAGTTTAAGACCAGCCTGGCAATAATGGTGAAAACCCATCTCTACTAAAAATACAATAATTAGACAGGCATGGTGGTGCTTGCCTGTAATCCCAGTTATTCAGAGGCTGAGGCAGGAGAATCGTTTGAACCCGAGAGGCGGAGGTTGTAGTGACCTGAGATTGTGCCAGTGCACTACAGCCTGGGTGACAGAGTAAGACTCTGCCTCAAAACCAAAAACAGTCCGGGTGTGGTGGCTCACACTTGTGATCCCAGCACTTCGGGAGGCCAAGGTGAGTAGATCACCTGAGGTCAGGAGTTTGAAAATCCTGGCCAACACGGCCAAACCTCGTCTCTACTAAAAAATTACAAAAATGAGCCAGGCATGGTGGCGCGCACCTATAGTCCCAGCTACTCAGGAAGCTGAGGAAGGAAAATCACATGAACCCAGGAGGCGGAGGTTCAGTGACATGCCACTGAACTCCAGCCTGGGCGACACAGTGAGACTCTCAAAAAAGCCAAAACCAAAACAACAACAAAAATGAAAACATCATGCTGAGTGAGAAGTCAGACACAAAAGGCCACGGAGTGTACGATTCCATTTATGTGAAAGTCCACACGCCTCCCATCCCAGCACTTTGGGAGGCCGAGGCAGGCAGATTACAAAGTCAACAGATCGAGACCATTCTGGCCAATATGGCGAAACCCTGTTTCTACTAAAAATACAAAAATTAGCTGGGCGTGGTGGTGCGCACCTGTAGTCCCAGCTACTCGGGAGGCTCAGGCAGGCGAATTGCTTGAACCTGGGAGTCAGAGACTCCAGTGAGCCGAGATTGTACCACTGCACTCCAGCCTGGCAACAGAGTGAGATTCGGTCTAAAAAAAAAAGTCCAGAATAGGCAAATCCATGGAGACAGAAAGTTTACTGGTTACCCAGAGTGGGGACCCAGTGTTGCTGGGGAAGGGAGAAGTGAAGAATGATTGCTGGTGTCTGCAAGGTTTCTTTTTGGGGTGATTAAAATGTTTTGGAACCAGACAGAAGTGGTGGTTGCACAGCCTTGTGAGTGTACTCTCAGTGAATTATTCATTTACCATGGTTAATTTCATGTGAATGTCATCTCAATTAAAAAAAAAAAATGGCCAGGTGTAATAGCTCACACCTGTAATAACAACAGTTTGGAAGGCCAAGGTGGGAAGATCACTTGAGCTCAGGAGTTTGTGACCAGCCTGGGAAATATAGTGAAATCCCATTTCTAGTTTATTCATTTATTTTTTTAAAGAGAGGGGTCAGGCCAGGCACAGTGGCTGATGTCTGTAATCCCAGCACTTTGGGAGATGGAGGTGGGTGAATCACAAGGTCAGAAGTTCGAAGCTGGTCTGACAAACATTGTGAAACCCATCTCTATTAAAAATACAAAAATTAGCTGGGTGTGGTGACACACGCCTGTTGTAATCCCAGCTACTCAGGAGGCTGAGGAAGGAGAATGGCTTGAACCCGAGAGGTGGAGGTTGCAGTGAGCTGAGATCGTGCCATTGCACTCCAGCCTGTGTGACAGAACGAGACTCTGTCTCGGAAAAAAAAAAAAAAGAGAGAGAGAGAGAGAGAGAGAAGCCAGGTGTGGTGGTTTACGCCTGTAATCCCAGCACCTTGACAGGACAAGGCAGGCAGATCACTTGAGGTCAGGTTTTCGAGACCAGCCTGGCCAACAAAAACCCATCTCTACTAAAAATACAAAAATTCACCGGGCATGGTGGCAGGTGCCTGTAATCTTAGCTATTCAGGTGGCTGAAGCAGGAGAATCATGTGAGCTCAGGAGGCAGAGGCTCCACTAAGCCGAAAATCACCACTGCACTCTAGCCTGGGTAACAGAGTGAGACTTCATCTCAAAAAAAAAAAAAAGAAAGAAATCATATTAACGTTTTACTCTCTTTCATAATACATGTTTGCTTTAACATAAACATTTCAAGTTCTTACTGACCTAGAAAAGTTGCCCATCTGTGGCTTTGCATCTCTCACCACAGCCCCTTTCTGTCCGGCACAGCAGGCTCTGCAAAGTGGCGGGGGAGGTGGCGGCCCCGGATGGAGGCTTAGAAATCACGAAGGTGCCCCGTCACCCAGAGACTCACACTGACCCATGCTGGGAGAGAGGTGCCCAGCAGAGCCTCCCCTGAGAGCCAGGCCCCAGAGCTTGGTGGGAACTGGCCCTGGAACCCACAGAGCATTCAAGGGCTCAGGGCAGCAGCTGATTCTCTGAGCACTGCAGTACTGGAACTCACCCAGGGGAAATTCTTTTCCTGGGGCCTAAATTTAGTCCAGGGAGCTTGGACAGGAATTATGTCATTCCCTGAACTCACACAGCAGTAAACAAGTTCAAAGCAAGGTCAACAGCTGGTGGCCGACCTGGCCTGTCCCGGCAGGCAGTGTGCTCCCACCTGGGAAGGCCACACGGGTCTGTCCCTGTGCCCTTCCCATGGGTGGCTTGGGCAGCGGGCAGGTGGGTCCTGGCTGAGCAGTGCAGGGCAGCCCTGCAGGCCCAGGGGCCTGGGGTGGCCAGAGAGGACCCTGGTATGGCCCCCACCTGGGTCCTGCCAATTTAGCATCTGACGGTGGTGGCGAGAAAGTAGCAACTAACTGGACACGCTAACTCAAAACTGAATTCCTGCTGCGGAGCTGCAATCGGTCTTCTAGAGCAAAGGAGACACTGCTGCCAAACGTGGGAGAAACAAGGCCACGGCCAGAAAGAAGCCAGGACGGGAAAGAAGCAGAAACGCGGCTGCAGACGAAGCCCACGTCTGTCCTTGGCACCCTGCAATCGCTCCCCTGATGGAAGGGCGGACGAGGAAACCCGGAGGCTCCCAGATCCTCCTCCTAAGTTCTAGCTCCGGGCTGAGCACTTGGCTGGCATTCTCACCCCCTTCACTCCTGGCGAGGGAGGCAGCTTCTATTCATCCCATTTTATTTTCTTTTGAGACAGGGTCTCATTCTGTTGCCCAGGCTGGAGTGCAGTGGCACGAACATGGCTCACTGAAGCCTCCACCTCCCAGGCTCAAGCGATCCTCCCACCTTAGCCTCCTGACCCTGGCGCCCCATTTTACAAACAAGGAAGTAGGAGGGTAAGCAGAGGTGATGCTGCCTGCCCAAGGCCACGCAGCTGGTGAGTGTCACCCGGATGTGCCCAAAGCCCCCATCCCAGCCCCTCTGCTTTCTACCTGTAGAACCATCTGCCAGGGAAGCCTGGTGGGCAATGCTGAGATCGAGGGGGCCAGGAGAGGGGGTGAGGGGAGATGGCATATACTGTACCTGGCGAAGGTTATAGCGAAGGCACTAGGGCACTAGCTCTCAGCAGGGGGTGATTTTACCCCATCCCCACCCTGGGGACATTGGTTAACAAATGGAAACATTTTGGTGGAAACTGCTCAATGTCCCACAATGCACAGGATGGCCCCCTCGATAAAGAATGATCCGAGACTGGACACAGTGGCTCATGCCTGTAATGCCAGCATTTTGGGAGGCTGAGGTGGGTGGATCATCTGAGGTCAGGAGTTCGAGACCAGCCTGGGCAATATGGTGAAACCCTGTCTCTACTAAAAATACAAAAAATTAGCCAGGTGTGGTGGTGCATGTCTGCAGTGCCAACTACTCAGGAGGCTGAGGCAGAAGAATTGCTTGAACCTGGGAGGTGGAAATTGCAGTGAGCCCAGATCGCGCCACTCCGGGCTAGGCGACAGTGAGACTCTGTAAAAACACAATTAAAAAAAGAATGATCCAGCCCCAAATGCCAGGGGTGCCGAACCTGAGAACCCCTGCGCCAGTGGTGTCTTTCTACCCACGACTTCTAGGGAGGAAAGTTGTGTGTGCAGAACCTGCGCCATTCTGAGTGTGTGCAGCCTCTGATTAAACAGTTCCACTTCCAGAGACGAGGCCTGCAGGAGCCACCTGCACCTGGGCAAAGAGGCAGAGAGACGAGGGTACCAGAACCCCTGCAGGAAGACAGGAACACCTAAGCGACCATCCCTGAGGGGCTGTTCAAATAAATGATGGCACAGTCACAGACTTGAACGGGAAGTATTATAGCTGATACGGAGAATGGCATGAACCTGCAATCTCCGCCTACCAGGTTCAGGCAATTCTCCTGTCTCAGCCTCCCAAGTAGCTGGGATTACAGGCACGCAGCAGCATGCCTAGATATTTTTTTGTATTTTTAGTAGCAACGGAGTTTCACCATGTTGGCCAGGCTGGTCTCAAACTCCTAACCCCAGGTGATCCACCTGCCTCGGCCTCCCCTCCCAAAGTGCTGGGATTACAGGTGTGAGCCACCTCCCCTGGTCTCTCCAGTATACTTGAAGAGCCAGTTGCTCACCCCACTGAGTGAGGGAGGCTTTCCAAATTCCTATTTCCAGCTTTCTTTCCAACACTCCATTTTGAGCTCCGTGGTCCTGCCACACCACACTTTCTTCCTTTCTTCCTTTTTTTTTTTTTTTTTTTGATGGGGTCTTGCTCTGTCATCCAGGCTGGAGTGCAGATGCACAATCATGCTCACTGCAACCTCCACCTCCCAGGCTCAAGCGATCCTCCCACCTTAGCCTCCCGAGCAGCTGGGACGACAGGATCATGTCCCCAAGCCCCACTAACTTTTGTGTTTTTTGTAGAGATGGGATTTTGCCATGTTGCCCAGACTAATCTCACACACCTGAGCTCAAGTGATCCTCTTGCCTCAGCCTCCCAAGTAGCTGGGACCACAGGCAAACACCATCACATCCAGCTAATTTTTACATTTTTTGTAGAGAAATGGTTTCATCTTGCTGCTCAGCCTGGTCTTGAACTCCTGAGCTCAAGCGATTCACCTACCTCGGCCTCCCAAAGTGTTGGAATTACAGGCATGAGCCACTATGCCCAGCCAGCCTGCCTCCTTTCTAATACCAGGTCAAGACAGCAACTCCTCCAGGAAGCCTTCCTGGAGGCCCCCCAAATCCCTTTTTTACTGCATCCATCACAGTAGTGACTATGAACTCAAAAGCCCCATCAGTACCACAAATGAGTCGAGTGGGCTGTTTGATTCAGACATAGATGAGCTTGGCAGATAAAAGGTTAATAAATACTCTCTTCGAACTTGCACTTTCCCACTTTTCTTAAAAAAAAACAGCCTTCTCCAGACTTTTTCTTTTCCACTTTCCACCTCCATTTTTGATAGAGAGATAGCTTCAAGAAACATCTTGGCGGGTGTAGTGGCTCACATCTGTCATCCTAGCACTCGGGAGGCCACAGTGGGGGGATCGCTGGAGCCCAGAAGTTCCAGATTGGCCTGAGCAACATAGCAAGACCCCATCTGTACAAAAAACTACAAAAATTACCAGGGCATGGTGGTACACATCTACAGTACCAGCTACTTGGGAGGCTGAGGTAGGAGGATCACCTGAGCCCAGCAGTTTAAGGCTACAGTGAGCTGAAATTCTATCACTGCACTCCAGTCTGGGTGACAGAGTGAGATCCCATTTCAAACAAACAAAAAACAAGAAATAGGCCGGGCATGGTGGCTCATGCCTGTAACCTCAACACTTTGGGAGGCTGAGGTCGGCAGATCTTGAGGTCAGGAGATAGAGACCATCCTGGCTAATATGGTGAAACCTCGTCTCTACTAAAATACAAAAAATTAGCCAGGCATGGTGGCACATGACTGTAGTCCCAGCTACTCAGGAGGCTGAGGTAGGAGAATTGCTTGAACCCGGGAGGCAGAGGTTGCACTGAGCAGAGATCGCGCCACTGCACTCCATCCAGCCTGGGCAACAGAGCAAGACTCCATCTCAAAAAAAACAAACAAAAAAAACCGCACACAAAAAAACACCAAGAAATATCTTAATTTCCCTTTTAAAATCTACAATAAGAAAAACAACAGCGGCCACACGTTAATACAGGTCTAGTGCCCTTAGGTCTTGGTTTGGAGTGACAAGAGGGAAGGGTCTCTTCAGCTTTAGCTGGTATCTGCCCCAGGAAAAAGCAGCCCTGGTCTCATCCAAGCTGATCTTTCAAAAGAAGCTAGAAATCGATCCCATTTTAAGCTCAACTTTTAAATTGTGACATCACATTCAAATTTAAAAAATGATACTGCTGGATTCTGTATGGCCAGACCCTCACAGCATGTGCTGGATGGAGTCTGCAACTCTGCAGTGAATCCTGGGTTCCAGTGTCTGTCCTCCCTGCCGACCTCTGAGTTCTCTGGGGGCAGGAAGCAGAGTGCAGCTGTGACCGGGGCCCCAGCACCAGCCCAGAGCCTCTGTGCACAGGGGCGCGGATCAGCTCTGTAGCAGTCCCCTTTCTCCTAGAACCACACTGGCTGCTCCCAAGACACACACACCTCGAGCCCTGAGGTTGCCCCACCTGCAGGCTGGCCACATTCGCCACTCCACACTCCGTGCTCGACAGCTCCATGGGGAGCTGTCCAAGGCGCTCTAGACCTGACCTGCCCTCCCCAGATCCGCTCAGCCACTGCCTCTCTCTCCAAGTGCCCAGGGTCACCCTCACCCCCATGTATTGCCTGACACAGGCTCTCACCTCACCTTCAAAATATACCTCCATGTTAGACCATCCAGAATGTCGCTCATTTTCTTAGATGCAATAACGGTGTTTGTAATTCTATACGAATGTCTTTTATTTTTTAGGAAGGTCTCAACCTGTGACCCAGGCTGGAGTGGTGCAATCACGGCTCCCTGCAGCCTTGACCTCCCAGGCTCAGTGAATCCTCCTACTTCAGCCTGGGACTCCACCTGCGGGCCACCATGCCCGGCTCATTTTTGAATTTTTTTGTAGAGATGAGGTTTCATCTTCTTGCCTAGGGTGGTCTCAAACTCCTAGGCTCAAAAGATCCTCCTGCCTTCGCCTCCCAAAGTGCTAAGATTATAAGCATAAGCTACTGTGCCCAGCCCAGAATGTCTTTATTTTTAAAAGACGTGTACTGCCATGTTTAGGGATGAAATGCCCTGTGATCTGTAACTTACTTTCAAATGGTCCCAGAAAAAAAACAGACAAAGCAAAGAAACCCCAACAGCCAACAACCGCCAAGCTCAGCAGGTGACATCCAGGACAGGACTAGGCTGTGCTTTCAACTTGTCTGTAGACTCAAAATACACACACACACATATATTTTTGTACACAGTCACACACACATACTCTCACAATCACTCCACCATCTGTTATTTTTTTTTGAAAGAAAGTCTCACTCTGTCACCCAGGCTGGAGTGCAGTGGTACAATCACGGCTCACTGCAGCCTCCAACTCCTGGGCTTAAGGGATACTCTGCCTCAGCTTCCTGAGTAGCTGAGACCACGTACATGCCACCACGCCCAGCTCATTTCTGAAATTTTTTTGTAGAGACAGGGCCTTGCTATGCTGCCCAGGTTGGCCTCAAACTCTTGGCCTGAAGTGATACTCCTGCTTCAGCCTCCCAAAGCATTAGGATTACAGGTGTAAGCCACCATTACTGGCCAATGGTTTGATTTTTATTTATTTACTTGTTTTTGAGACAGGGTCTTATCGTCACCCAGGCTGGAGTGCAGAGGCATGATCACGGCTCACTGTAGCCTTGACCTCCTGTGCTCAAGCGATCCTCCTACCTCGGCCTCCTGAGTAGCTGGGGCCACAGGTGTGTGCCACCACACTTGGCTATTTTTTTCTTTTTTTTTTGTAGAGATGAGGTCTTGCCAGGTTGCCCAGGCTGGTCTTGAACTCCTGGGCTCAAGCAGTCCTAAAGTGCAGGAATTACAGGCATGAGCCACTGCACCTGGCCTAATGTGTGTGTGTGCGTGTGTGTGCGTGTGTGTGTGTGTGTGTGTGTGTGAGTGCCATGGCTGTTTATTCACCTGGGGGCAGGTGGGCTAAGGCCGAAAAGGGCATTAGCCTGGCCTAATTTTTTTTTTTTTTGAGACGGAGTCTTGCTCTGTTGCCCAGGCTGGAGTGCAATGACATGATCTTGGCTCACTGCAACTTCTGCCTCACAGGTTCAAGTGACGCTCCTGCCTCAGCTTCCTGAGTAGCTGGGATTACAGGCACGCACCACCACACCCAGCTAATTTTTTGTATTTTTAGTAGAGACAGGGTTTCACTGTATTCTCTAGGCTAGTCTCAAACTCCTGAGCTCAGGCAATCCACCCACCTCGGCCTCCCAAAGTGCCGGGATTACAGGCGTGAGCCACTGTGCCCGACTCTTTCTGATTTTTTTAATTGCCCCACAGGACATGGTCATTACATGGTACAGAACATGTACTCCAGGTGTCACCTCTCCTCATCGTATCTTTGCTGGAGCAGGCACATGGCAGGGCCTCCTTGAACACCTAGCCACAGACTGCCTGAAGGCAGTTACAGGGAGACCGCCAGAGCCCCGCCCTGGAGGCCACGTACCTTCAGCTCCTGGGTGCTCCTTCCCATCAGCCTGGGCCTCGTCTGCCTTGGCCTCAGTGCCATCGCTGGGCACAGCTGCGTTGGGCTCCGGAGCGGGGCTGGAGTTGCTGCTGTTCTCTTGTTTGATGGGGGAGGCATCCGCGATGGAGCTCTGGTTGCTGTTATCATCTGTCGGGGGTGGGAACAGAACCATAGGATGAAATCCCACAGCTGCCAAGGACAGGTGGGCTGGGGGGCTCTGCCTCCCTGTGCCTCAATGCCCAGAGCCCCACGGCAGCTCTCTCGGGGAGGAATCTGGTTATCCTTTTTTTTTTTTGAGATGGATCTTGCTCTGTCACCCAGGCTGGAGTGCAGTGGCTCAATCTTGGCTCACTACAACCTCTGCCTCCTGGGTTCAAGTGATTCTCTGGCCTCAGCCTCCCAAGTAGCTGGGATTACAGGCACTCACCAACACACCTGGCTAATTTTGTATTTTTAATAGAGATGGGGTTTTACCATTTTGGCCAGGCTGGTCTCGAACTTCTGACCTCAGGTGATCCACCCACCTTGGTCTCCAAAAGTGCTGGAACTATAGCCGTAAGCCATCTCGCCTAGCCATCCAGGAGGGGTCTGGATACTCCTCCTCCTGGGACCCCTGAGCTGACCCCGCAGGTCCCCCACACCCTCCAAGCACCACAGCTGTCCCATGTGTCCAGGGAGGCAAAGAATTCTGGCACCGGCCTGACCTTCCCCATACTGAGCCAACTGTACCCTGTGTCTGGAGGCAGCCAGCTGGGGATGGTGGCCTAACATATTTAAAACCTTGGGGGGACATTTGAGGCCTCATTCTGGGTGTACAAACCAGATGCCTTGTGTATCTGGGAAGCAATATGGAAGACACGGCATGGTCCGTGAGGCGTGACTGCCAAGACGTTCTGAATGAACGCATCCAGGCTGGAGCTGAGTTCCACTAGATAGGAAATAAAAGGGAGCGAGAGGCAGCCAGGGTAGCACATTCCACGGGACATGTGGCCCCTCCCTTAAAGTCGGTATCGTTTTTATTAAAAAATAAAAAGAGGAGGGGAGATGGACGTCGAATAAAGAAAGCTAAGAGACTCGACTAAACATGATGTATGGGAATTATCTGGATCCAACTTTAACACTTAGGAACTGGGGAATCTGAATCCGGTCTGGATTTTAAAGCTATTAAGGAACTGGTGTTAACTTTGTTAGAAGTGATCATGGGACAGTGGGTATACAGAAACGTCATGTTTTTAGCAATGTATGCTGTGATATAGCTGCAGACTTGAATGTCATGAGGCAGGGAAATTTACCAGAAAATGCTTCCATGCAAGCTACATGCTACTTCCAGGACACCTTGAACCTTTACTTTTTGAGACAGTCTTGCTCTGTCACCCAGACTGGAGTGCAATGGCGCAATCTGGGCTCACTGCAACCTCTGCCTCCCGGGTTCAAGCAATTCTCCTGCTTCAGGCTCCCAAGTAGATTTACAGGTGCCTGCCACCACACCTGGCTGATTTTTCTATTTTTAGTAGAGATGGGTTTCACCACGTTCCGGGCTGGTCTCAAATTCTTGACCTCAGGTGATCTGCCTGCCTTGGCCTCCCAAAGTACTGGGATTACAGGTGTGAACCACTGCACCCAGCGACTAGTAGTGTATTTTAATATGTGAATTATCTTTTTTTTTTTTTGAGACGGGGTTTTGCTCTTGTTACCCAGGCTGGAGTGCAATGGCACAATCTCGGCTCACCGCAACCTCTGCCTCCTGGGTTCAGGCAATTCTCCTGCCTCAGGCTCCTGAGTAGCTGGGATTACAGGCACGTGCCACCAGGCACAGCTAAGTTTTTGTATTTTTAGTAGAGACGGGGTTTCACCATGTTGACCAGGATGGTCTCGATTTCTTGACCTCGTGATCCACCCGCCTCGGCCTCCCAAAGTGCTAGGATTACAGGCTTGAGCCACTGTGAATTATCTTTTAATTAAAACATTCGACACACTGAAAAAATTGGTGAGGCAAATACGGCATGTGTTCATGAAAATCAGGGTGGAGGGTATAGGGGAATCGTATTCCTCTCTCTACTGTTCGTGACAACAAAACCCTTCACAACACAAAGAAGAAGAGGAAGGGGTAACTGAGCAATGGCATTCACAGTCGGGCTGGGGGGAGAGCTGGGGCCTGGGGTGCACCTGCCCTTGTCCTGTACCCTGTTCTCAGGCACAGAGAGTCACTCTATTTTTCTGAGATGGAATCTCACTGTCACCCAGGCTGGAGTGCAGTGGCATAATCTCGGCTCACTATAATCTCCGCCTCCTGAGTTCAAGCAATTCTCATGCCTCAGCCTTCCAGGTAGCTCTGATTATAGGCACACACCACCATGCCCGGTTAATTTTTGTTATTTTTGGTAGAGACAAGGTTTCACTACATTGACCAGACTGCTCTCGAACTCCTGACCTCAGGTGATCTGCCTGCCCTGACCTCCCAAAGTCCTGAGATGACAGGCATGAGCCAGCACGCCCAGCCATTTATGTACTTTTTATTTTAGAGACAGGGTCTTGCTGTGTCGCACATGCTGGAGTGCAGCAGCACAATCAGAGCTCAGAGCAGCCTCGAACTCTCAGGCACAAGCCATCCTCCCGCCTCTGCCTCCTGAGTAGCTGGGGCCACAGGCATGTGCCGCTGTCTCTGGCTAATTTTTAAATTTTTTGTAGAGATGGGGGTCTCACTATGTTGCCAGGCTGGTCTTGGACCCCTGGGCTCAAGTGATCCTCCTGTCGTGGCCTCCCAAAGCACTGAGATCATAGGCCTGAGCCACTATGCCAGACCTAGGAGAGTCATTTCAAACAGCAGAGACCCAAGTGGAAGTTTCAAAGCTGATGCAATAGGAAGCAGCCTTTGCATCATAAAGGGCCATGCTGCACCTGGGGCGACGACCGCTTTTGTCAGAATGAGAAAGAGACAGAGACACCCCAACAGACCCGGGTGCCTGCCATATGCGAGGCACTGGGAAAAGCATTTGTGGTCACCTCGTCTAATCCTCCCAGCAACCCACTGGAGAGGCGCCATTACCGCCTTCACTTTCCAGAGGGGGAAACCGAGGCTGGGAGCAGGAGAGCCACTAGCCGGACCCATCTGCCCAGCTCCCAGCCCCATGCCTCTCCTCTACCTCAACCTGCCGAAGAGAGCCAGGCAGTCAGGCAGCCCCACCCGGGTAACTTGGACCTGAGTTTAACTGGACTTGGGTGCGCATTATACAAAAGCATCCTCTTGTGAATTCTAGAACTTAAAAAGGATGTGTGCTCCCCAATTTCTCCTCTGAGAAAATCTGAACTACCTTCCTACTGCCAGCACTCGAGCAAGATGCTGGCCCCATAGGCTCCTGAGGTTGTGTTAATTAATGACAATAAGCACTAATGTTTAACGTCTGGGCCTAGGCTGGTAGCCTGGTAACGGTGTGACCCCAATACTTGGGCTAACTCCAGCTGAGTTAGCTGGAGTTAAGGTCTTGTGGACTAAAGGGCCCAAGGCACCACCCTCTCCCTTCACCTCCTGCTATACATATCCTCCCACTTGAAGCCTTCCAGAAAACCTGGCCGGCCCACACCTTTCCCTGACCTTCCCAGTCACATGCTCTGCTGTCTGATTTGGTTTCAGCTGTACATGCACTAAAATGGAAATGAGAAAGTGGACAGGGACCTATGTTGGGGACCTGGTTTGTTCAGCAGTCTAGATTTTTCTGGAGAGTTTGTCCAGGCCACAAACCTGGATTTTTTTTTTTTTTTTAAACACATCCTCGCTCTCTCGCCCAGTCTGGAGTACAGTGGTGCAATCTTGGCTCACTGCAACCTCCTCCTCCCAGTTTCAAGAAATTCTCCTCCCTCAGCCTCCTGAGTAGCTGGGATTACAGATGCCCGCCACCACACCCGGCTAATGTTCGTATTTTTAGTAGAGAAGGGGTTTCACCACGTTGGCCAGGCTGGTCTCGAACTCTTGACCTCGTGATCCACCTGCCTCAACCTCCCAAAATGCTGGCATTACAGGCATGAGCCACCTCGCCAGCCAATATATCTCTGTTTTAAGAGACAGGGTCTTGCTCCGTTGCCCAGACTGCAATGCAGTAGTGCAATTACTGTTTACTGCAGTCTCCAACTCCCAGGTTCAAGCGATCCTCCCACCTCAGCCGTCAGAACAGCTGTGACTATAGGTGCGCACCACCGCACCCAGCTAACTTAAATGTATTATTATTATTACTATTTTCAGAAATGAGATCTCCCTATGTTGCCCAGGTTGGTCTCAAACTCCAGGGCTCAAAGGATCCTCCTAACTCAGCCTCCCACAGTGCTGGGATCATAGGCATGGGCCACCGCCACTGTGCTTTTCTAAAGCCTGTTCAGAAGCCTGCCAGCCCTCCTGCCATTGGAACTGGTGACTGTGTTTTCCAGAAAGGTAGATTTGGCACGGGGAAGTTTGCTGGTCTTCTTCCCCTAGAACAAGACAGCACTGGGTCTGGGGAGATCAGAAACTCCAGCAAACCAATATTCCTTCCCAGTTCCTTCTTTAGTTGTTTATCTTCTACCACCTGGCTGTACCAAAGGTTTCAATGGTCAAAAGTACTAAGACATTGAAATTAGGGTCAAGAGAGAGAAAAAGGCTGGGGTTGCAGGCTCTTGTCCCAGTGGGCCAGCCAGGTGACAAAGAGGCAGTGGTTGAGCCAGGTAGGCCTGGGGGTGCCACACTCATCACAAGGGAAGGTAGCTCTGGCTTCAGGCAGCCCCTGCCTCGAGGGAGCACATGGCAATGGAGCTATCAGATCTGATTTATCAAGGGATGGCAGGATGCAGGTTTCCTGATTTCTGAACATGGGAAGCCAACTCAATTTTTATGAAGCTTTGGGGATGGGTGCGGTGGCTCCCACCTGTAATCCTAGTACTTTGGGAGGCTGAGGTGGGCAGATTGCCTGAGCTCAGAAGTTGGGAGACCAGCCTGGGCAAGATGGTGAAACCTCATCTCTACTAAAGTACAAAAAAATCAGGCGGGCATGGTAGCACAGGCCTGTGGTCCCAGCTACTCAGGAGGCTGAGGCAGAAGAATCGCTTGAACTCGGAAGGCAGAGGTTGCAGTCAGCTGAGATCACACCACTGCACTCCAGCCTGGGAGACAGGAGTCAGACTCTGCCTCAAAAAAAAAAAAAACAAAATAAAAAACGGACGTTTAGGTTTGAATCTCTGAGGGCGTTTTCCTTTGACAGATAGAGACAACCAGCAGGGACCCTCGGGGGACACTGGGGACTGGCTCGGAACATTCTGTTTTGACTGGGTAGTTACATGGGTGTGTGCAGTTTGGGAACATTTCATGGAGCCTTACACGTATCATTTGCACCTTTCCTCTCAAATAAAAGGGTCAAAACAGAAACAGACACCAGCCACAGGAAACAGTGGCAGGAGAGCCAGCCTGGATTCGGTGGGCGGACCTACGTTACAACTTGTTTGACTTTTTTGCCTTTTGAAGAGATGGGGTCTCACGGGATCGCCCAGGCTGTAGGGCAGCAGCAATTCTTAGGTACGATCATAGCACACTGCAGCTCTGAACTCCTAGGTTCAAGCGATCCTCCAGCCTCGGCCTCCTGAGCAGCCAGGACTACAGGTACGTGTTTCCTGTACGTGGCTACGTTACAACATTTGCAATTAAACAGCAAAGGAAGTTAGGCTGTGGACGTGGAAGGGCAGTTTCCAAGGACTGGTGGGATTAACCTGAAGTCAGAAATCCAGTTTGGAGGCTGGCCATGGTGGTTCATGCCTGTAATCCCAGCCCTTTGGGAGGCCATGACGGGTGGATCACTTGAAGCCAGGAGTATGAGACCAGCCTTGCCAATGTAGTGAAACTCTGTCTCAACTAAAATATACAAAAATTAGCCAGGGCTGGTGGCACATGCCTGTAGTTCCAGCTACTCAGGAGGCTGAGACAGGAGAACTGCTTGAACCCGGGAGGCGGAGCTTGCAGTGAGCCGCTATCACGCCACTGCACTCCAGCCTGGGCGACAAAGACAGAGACTCTGTCTCAAAAAGAACAAAAACCAAAACAAACACAAACAAAAAGAAAGAAGTCCAGTCTGGAGATTCTCAGCAGCCAAAGCAGAATGGAAAACACAGGCATTATCTAATTTATATGAGGGGGGAAAGAAACACACACCCAAGCAACCTTCCTGGGTATACGAGGCTGGGAGAAACATCTCCCGTGAGGTTCTCATCCCGGGTGAGGAGAGGCTCTAATTTCTATGTCTCTGGTTTAGTGCATGTCTCTTGGCCTGGTACGCTGGGAAAAGAAACTTCCTCTCCTCCGCTGAGTCCTCTCTTTGGCACGGAGGCCTCCGGGCCCTGCCCAGCCCTCCTACCCCTTGCCTGGAATGTGAACAAACCTGCCAGAGAAACACAAACACGACCCAGTGCTTGGCCAGGGCCCCGTGCTGGGCAGGAGAGGCTGGCAGGCCACGGGCACTCACCGTGCATGTCCATCATCCCTGGGGAGGAACTGTTCTCCGGAGTGGTCACCTCTGAGCCGCACTTCTCGTCCTTGCCTTTTTTCTTATTCTTGTTTTTCTGCAGAGAAAAATGGAGCAGAAACCAAGTCACCAGATTGCGCGTGTGTGCACACACATGCTCAGAGCCCCTGGGGAGTGGTGTGAATATTTTATTCTGTCGAAGCCTCCTGGAGCCCCCAGGTCTCTGAAGGGTTTTCCAGAGCCTGGATTTGAACACATCCCATTAGGGACTGGGCTCTGGGTCCCACCCGCGTTGGAATCAAAGGGTCCCACAGCGGGGAGGGTTTGAGGTTGACCCAGCTCTGGCACCCTGGGAAATCAGCCTGCCTGTTTCTGGGGCTGTCAGCAGCAGTGTGGAAATGCCTGGGCTGGCAGGACCTGCCTCCTCTTTAGGGAGAGCATCTGGGGAAGAGGCCACCATCAGCCCAGACCAGGCACAAAGTGATGCCAGATGAGCCAGGGGTCACTCATTTCCACCAGCTGCAGGCCTCCTGGGGCAGCCTTTCTCCAAGTGTACTGCCCAACTTCCAGTACAAAAGCACAGGAGTAGTTAAAAGGGAAGACCCTGGGAGGAAGGAGGGAGGATGGGGGTGCTTTTTGTGCCATTCCTTTTTTTTTTTTTGAGATGGAGTCTCACTCTGTCTCCCGGCTAGAGTATAGTGGTGTGACCTTGGCTCACTGCAACCTCCGCCTCCTGGGTTCAAGCAGTTCTCCTGCCTCAGCTCCTGAGTAGCTGGAATTACAGCTGCACGCCACCATGCCTGGCTAATTTTTATATTTTTAGTAGAGAAGGGGTTTCACCATGTTGGTCAGGCTGGTCTTGGACTCCCAACCTCATGATCCGCCCACCTCGGCCTCCCAAAGTGCTGAGATTACAGGTGTGAGTCACCGCACCTGGCCATTCATTATTGTTTTTGTTTTTTTTTACCCAAAGAAATAGAATTGTGTTAGAAACAACCTGGGCTCAGTGGGAAGAGACTCATTAACTCAATCATGGTACATTCACTCAATGAAATCCGATGCAGCAATTGCACGGAATAAGGTGGTTCTCCACAGACTAATGTGGGACGATCTGAAAATACGCACAGGTTAAAATATGTCAATATCGCCAAGATGTATGTAAGAAAAATGCAGGGTGAGTGTCGCCACCAGTGGTGAACAAAGGGTTCGTGTGTGTGCTCGCTCCTGTGTGTGTGCGCGCGTGCCTGTGCGTGTGTGTGCTCGCTCCTGTGTGTGTGTGTGTGCTCACTCCTGTGTGTGTGTGCTCGCTCCTGTGTGTGTGTGTGTGCTCGCTCCTGTGTGTGTGTGTGTGTGTGTGCTCGCTCCTGTGTGTGTGTGCTCGCTCCTGTGTGTGTGTGTGCTCGCTCCTGTGTGTGTGTGCTCGCTCCTGTGTGTGTGTGTGCTCGCTCCTGTGTGTGTGTGTGTGCTCGCTCCTGTGTGTGTGTGCTCGCTCCTGTGTGTGTGTGTGCTCGCTCCTGTGTGTGTGTGCTCGCTCCTGTGTGTGTGTGTGTGCTCGCTCCTGTGTGTGTGTGTGCTCGCTCCTGTGTGTGTGTGTGTGCTCGCTCCTGTGTGTGTGTGTGCTCGCTCCTGTGTGTGTGCTCGCTCCTGTGTGTGTGTGCTCGCTCCTGTGTGTGTGTGCTCGCTCCTGTGTGTGTGTGTGTGTGCTCACTCCTGTGTGTGTGTGCTCGCTCCTGTGTGTGTGTGTGTGCTCGCTCCTGTGTGTGTGCATGTGCTCGCTCCTGTGTGTGTGTGTGCTCGCTCCTGTGTGTGTGTGTGCTCGCTCCTGTGTGTGTGTGTGTGTGCTCGCTCCTGTGTGTGTGTGTGTGCTCGCTCCTGTGTGTGTGCACGCGTGCCTGTGCGTGTGTGTATTTACATGTATGTCTGCGAGCGAAGGCTCCCTCTAGAAGGATGAACGAAACCTGGCAATACTGTTGCCTCCAGAGAAGAGAACTGGGGTGGGGATGGGGGAGCATGCGGGGATGAGGCAGATTTATAAAAGACAGGCAGAGAAAGAGTAACATCTGAAGATAAACCGATCCAGAGAGACAGAAGAAGGTGGACTGGTGGTTACCAGGGGCAGGCGAGGTGGGTGGGGTGAGCTCCTTCTGTGGGGTGAGGAAAATGTTCTGGAAATACAGCGATTACAGCTGCACGACTCCGTGAATACACTAACTCAACCGAATACTTCAAAAGAGTGACTTCTGGCCAGGCGCAGTGGCTCATGCCTGTAATTCCAGCACTTTGGGAGGCTGAGGCAGGAGGATGGCTTGAGGTCAGGAGTTTGAGACCAGCCTAAGCAACATAGCCAGACCCTGTTTCTATTTAAATAAAAAAATAAATAAGCAAGCAAGCAAGCCGGGGGTGCATGCCTGCAGTCAGTCCCAGCTACTCAGAGGGCACAGATGGGAGGACTGCTTGAGCCCAGGAGGTCCAGGCTGCAGTGAGCACTGCCACTTCACTCCAACTGGGCAACAGAGACCCTGTCTCTTAAAAAAAAAAAAAAAAAAAGTGACTTCTTGGCCGGGCATGGTGGCTCACGGTGAAACCCTGTCTCTATTAAAATACAAAAAACTAGCTGGGCATGGTGGCACGTGCCTGTAGCTCCAGCTACTCGGGAGGCTGAGGCAGGAGAAACGCTTGAACCCAGGAGGTGGAGGCTGCAGTGAGCCGAGATCACGCCACTGCACTCCAGCCTGGATAACAGAGCAAGACTCCATCTCAAAAAAAAAAAAAAAAAGTGACTTCTATGATATGCAAATTGTCTTAATTAAAAAACTGTTTAGAATTTGAATTTTGTAATGTTTTACCTATTTAAAAGGATGAAATTTTCAAGAGTTACAAAGTAAAAAATGGATATAACCATGTAGATACTGGCTATCCCTCTACAAGGCAGAATCCCAGCCCCAACCTTCAGAGACTCAGCTGCTTGGTGTGGGGCCCGGGAATCTGCATCTTCTCAAGGTGCTCAGCCAGGCCCAGACCCATCGTCCTAGAGGGAAAGAGTGGGGGAGTGGCACATGGCACATCACAGCTCACAGATGAAGAGGGAATTTGCATTTCTCGGCACCGACTGCACAGCCGGCTCAGTGCTAAGTATTCTCCGTGGTGATATACTGCTTTTGCTCTGTTGCAGAAACCGCGAGTTGGAAGTCACTGCTCCATTCCTCAAAAGTGGGGACTAAGGCCCAGCAAGGTGGGGTCAACTGCCCAACACCACAGGTTAATTAGGGCTGAGCTGTCCGACTCCAAATCCAACAGTCCTTTGAAGCCTAGAGCTGCCCTGTCTTTCCTATGGCCCACAGCTTACGTTTTCTCCTTGATCACATTCCATTTGGCACTTCCCTGATATCTGTTTCATGCTATTCTATAATTATCCTCCCCCAACGAGATTAGAAATTCCTTGAGAGCAGGGACCACATCTTCTCAAATGCAACCGGCGTTTCTACACCTAATGGTGGGCAAGGCGCAGACATGGGCCGGAGCCAGTAGCTGCCTTCGAGGAGCCTGCAGTGCTCTTCCCAGGGAGATGCGGAGAGAGACCAAGTCTCAGTCCCTTTGAGGGAAGCAGCCCTGGTGGTTCCAGGAGCCCAGGCCAGGACCAGAAGGGACAACAAAGGCCCAAGTTCAGGGGTGAGCTTGTGATCAGGGCCAAGAATGAATGGAGCCACAGCCCTGCCCCGAGACCCGACCCTGAAGATGGGGGAGGGAAACTCAGCCCCTGTCTTTTTGGAGGAAGTTGAACCCCCACTTGCTTCCCCCACCCAAAACTTACCAATCATGACCTCACATCAGTGCCAGGAGTGACGGCAGCCATGTGGGTTAGTCTGCGCCATCTTCCCAGTAGAAGGACTGAGTTTGAGGAAATAAGGAAGGCAGTCCAGGCAGGGGGAACGGCCCAGGCAAAGGCCTCTGGGGGAGACTGTTCTTGATTTGGGATGGAAATGAGGGGTCTCTGGAGGTAACTGGCCTGGGAGCCAAGACGTTGGAGAGCCTTGTCTGCAAAGTTGGGGCAGCTGCCAGCCGTCAAGCCCTCCCCAAGAACTAGGACAGCGCCTCCAGCTCCCTCTAGTGGTGGAAGTTGGGATGGCGCCACCCCTCCAAGAGCCCTCCTAGAGACCCTTGCATCCGCGCACCAGGATTTTCTAATCTAGGAGCCCCCATCATCAGCAGCTGCAGTCACCAGCAGCTCCTCCAAGCGCAGAGAAAACATGCACTTTGGAGTCAGACAGGCCTGAGCTCCACTCACAGCTCTGATGCTAGCTGTGTGACTCTAGGGAAGTGGCTTCACCTCTCTGAGCCTGTGTCCTCACTTGTACAGAGAAGAGTTAAAAAGATCAACTCCACAGGCTGAGTAGGAAAAATAACTGAGATGCTGCATGTGAGGCATCATCCCAGGGCCTGGCAGATGATCACGGGCTCAGGAACAGAACCACAAAGGTGGGGAGAACCTGCCTATCCTTGGGCGCCGCCACACCTGCCCTGAACCACAGTGCAATACCTGGGGAGGGTGCTCAGCCCAGAAGACACAATTTGCAGGCTGGGCACCGTGGCTCACTCCTGTAACCCCAGTGCTTTGGGAGGCCCAGGCAGGTGGGTCGCCTGAGGTCAGGAGTTCAAGAACGGCCTGGCCAACATGGTGAAATCCCATCTCTACTAAAAATACAAAAATTTAGCCAGGTATGGTGGCATGTGCCTATAATCCCAGCTACTTGGGAGGCTGAGGCTGGAGAATCACTTGAACTTAGGAGACAGAGACTGCAGTGAGCCAAGATCATGCCACTGCACTCCAGCCTGGGCAACAAAGCAAGGCTCTGTCTCAAAAAAAAAAAAAGGAAGAAGGGGAAGGGGAAGGGGTAGGGGAAGGGGAAGAAGATGACACAACTTGCAGATGCTCCCCCCCACTCTTAGGGTCAGAATCTGGGGCTGGAGTAGGAGGGTTGGGGGCGGGTCCTTCCACTCCCAGGGGCAGTTGGTCCCAGAGCCCAGGCACAGGTGGCAGCAGACAACCCTCCTCCCTGTGGTGGAGAGAGCACAGATGGACGGCCCACCCCAGGGGACCAGCCCCATACTCACATCATCAACCTTGGGCTCCGTCACAGGGACCCATTTGTAGATTCGTAGAGACGTGTCACCAACAGTCACCCATTTCTTCTCCCTGAGGATGATGAGGAAGAGCCGGTTCATCGTTGGGGGACACAGGGCACACTCCCTTGGGATGAGAGCAGGCTCTCGCTCACACAGATGAGGGCTTGAATCCCAGCTCCACCCTCACTAGCTGGAGCCCCTGGGCAGGCCACATCACCAAGTAAGCCTGGCTTCTCCACCTGTGACCCTACATAGGGTGGTTGTCCTCTTCAGGCTGTTGCCAAAAAGGGTGAGGGTGGGGCTCCTATTACAAGGACTCCTATGGGTGGTGGGAGTCAGGCCCAGGTTCCTCCTGCGTCACTGCCGATGCCACCCAGCCAGTGGACTGGGCTACCCTCGCCCTTCTGGGCAGCAGAGAGGGCTTCAGGCCAGTGGGCCAATTCCTCTCATGGGGGGTGGAGTCATTGCCAAGGACACCCTGGGGCTCCTCCTGCCCTCCTGGCTATGTGTCTGAGGTCAGTGGAGGCAGGAGCAGGCAGGCCGGGGCCACCCACACTCTGCCGGAGGAATGCCCTTCGCTGTGGCCAAGGAGAGCCAGGGAGCGGTGACCTCGGCCCGAAAGGAGGGTGCGTGGCCTGAATCTGTGGGTGGCAGCCGGGAGGGAGGGGACCCGCACTCCTGGATCAGAGCTCCTAGTGACCCTGTCTGCAAGGTCACCCAGCTGCATTACAAATGCCTGAAGGACTGAGCCCAGACCCTGTGAGAGGCAGGTTTATGGATGAGACTGAGAAACTTACAAGCCACAGAAGGAAATAGGACTGGTTTTCATCCAAGGTAACAATGACCACCCTCTCCTCCACCACCGCCACTCCGCCCCGAGCCGCTGTCATCTTCCAATTATTGCTACAGCCAGCCACCTCCTGTCCTTGACCCCCTGCACTTGTCCTTTACAGCCCCAAAGGCCCAGCGGCCACACCCCTGAGGGGGCTGAGGCTCCGAAGAGCCTCTCAGAAGCCGGGCTGGGGTTGGAACCCAGGCTCCCAACTCGCGGCTCTGCCATCTCAGGAGACGTGTGAGGCTACCAAGGAGCCACTGACTGCTCAGCAGGGAGGCTGCTGGATTTCACGGCCCCACAGGGGCTGTCAGGCCAGGCGCACTCCTGGCACAGGCAACATAGCTCCCTGAGTCCTCAGCAATTTTGGTGACAAAAGTTCCCCAGAACCAATAATTCTGTGCAGCAGGAGCGCCTCTGTCCATGAGCTGACTGGCACCTTTTCTTGGCCTCTCTGCCCAAACTCAGCCTTGGGTCACCCCTTTGTTGTGCACGTGGCCCCTCACATGCTGGTGTGAGAGGCTACAGGACTCCCACTCCATCACCATAGGGGTTACAAGATGCCAGAGCACACTGAAAGTCAGACGGCCAAAACCATAGACACCTCAGCCCCAAAAACCCTGCCTGCTCAAGTCCCACATGTTCCCTGCCAGAGGACACTATGGCCGGCTTTTCTTATTATACCAATGGCTGTCCCTAGTTCCTTCTATGTGCCAAGTACTATGCCGGCTCTCCTGGCAGGAAATGGTAACTTGCGGCCAGGCGCGGTGGCTCACGCCTGTAATCCCAGCACTTTGGGAGGCCCAGGCCTCAGGTGTATCACCTGAGGTCGGGAGATCAAAACCATCCTGACTAACATGGTGAAACCACATCTCTACTAAAAAAAAAAATCCAAAAAATTAGCCGGGCATGGTGGCACGTGCCTGTAATCCCAACTACTCAGGAGGCTGAGGCAGGAGAATCATTTCAACCTGGGAGGTGGAGGTTGCGGTGAGCTGAGATCACGCCATTGCACTCCAGCCTGGGCAACAAGTGTGAAACTCTGTCTCGGGGAAAAAAAAAAAAAAAAAAGGAAATGGCAACTGTCCCATTTGACAGATAAAGAAACTGAGGCACAGGGCAGTGAAGGTGAACTCATCTCCCAGAGCCAGCACTTAGACCCTTCCCCCAGCACAGCTGTTGAGCGCAGCCTCTGCCCCGATCCCTGCACATTTTGACCCAGAAAGGATGTAGGAAAGATGTGTCTCTAAGTCCAGCAGCCAGTCTCCTGCCTCCTGTGGGCAAAGCAGACAAACCATGATGCGCACCTTTCCCCTCCTCCATTCTGAGCAATCAGAAGGGGTCCAGAAGGGACAGGGTATTCCCGAGAAGAAGCTGGGTTGTTAGAGCAACGAACAGAATAGCCATTGTGTGCCCTGGCTATTACATGCCAGGCTCCATGCCAAGCACTTTACTTATACACCCTCTCCCCCTGGGATCCCCAACAGGCTATGAGAGGGGGATGACTGTCACCCTTTTTACAGATACAGAAACAGGGTGCCCAGAGAGGTTACACTGCTAACTTGGGGTCTCACAGATAGGAAGTGGCAGGCTTGGACCCGACACCACCTCCTGCTATTCTGTTGCCCATGAAAATCAAGAATCCATTCTAAGGAGCGGGGGGTAGCAGAAGCTGGAGGAAGAATGACAAATTGCCAGGACCTCATGCAGACTGGCCAAAGCCATTCATTACTCATGAGCCCTGGACCAGCTTCCCAGTAAATCAACCCATTCAAGGTTTGATTGTATTTGGGGGGTGGAAAAAAGTAATTGACTTGTAACACACAGGACACCTTTCAGGGCAGAAAGTGTGCCGGAGATCTGGGCTTTGGAGCCGCAAATGTGCCAAGATGCAAGTTTGCAGCTGCTTCCCAGAGAGGCTTGAGGCCACTGCAGGCTATGAGCTAAATGCAGCCAGGCTTTTGTGCCTCTGTTTGCCCCGACTGGCGACATCTTCGCCAAGTTTTCATTATCATATTTCTAGGCGTGGACATTGAGGGGGCTTTGGGACAGAGGCAAGAACATTAAGAACTCTATCTCAGCCAGGCTCGGTGGCTCACGCCTATAATCCCAGCACTTTGGGAGGCCGAGGTGGGTGGATCACGAGGTCAAGAGATCGAGACCATCCTGGTCAACAAGGTGAAACCCCGTCTCTACTAAAAATACAAAAATTAGCTGGGCATGGTGGTGTGCGCCTGTAGTCCCAGCTACTCAGGAGGCTGAGGCAGGAGAATTGCTTGAACCCAGAAGGCGGAGGTTGCAGTGAGCCGAGATCGTGCCATTGCACTCCAGTCTGGGTAACAAGAGCGAAACTCCGTCTCGAAAAAAAAAAAAAGAACTCTATCTCTGGGCTGGAGCCGCGCTCAGCCAAGCAGCCACCCAGGAGGGACGGTGGAGCTCAGGTTTAAGGCACCGAGTGAGTGCCCGGGAGGACATGCGATTTCACAGCCACAGACACATCAGCTGGGCACATGAGTTCAGCGAAGCAGCTGAGGTTTCCCACAACTGCCTCCCAAGACCATCACAACACAGCCCGCCCCAAAAAAGGGCATTGCTCCCCTCCCCCAATGAGGGTATTAAGCTATACTCATCACTTATTTTTTTTTAATTTTTCAATTTTTTTGAGACAGAATCTTGTTCTGTCGCCCAGGATGGAGTGCAGTGGCGCAATCTCAGCTCACTGTAACCTCCACCTCCCAGGTTCAAGAGATTATTCTCCTGCCTCAGCCTCCCGAGTAGCTGGGATTACAGATACCCACCACCACGCCCTGCTTTTGTATTTTTAATAGAGATGGGGGTTGTTGTTTTAATAGAGATGTTGGCCAGACTGACGTCAAACTCCTGATCTCAGGTGATCTGTCCGCCTCGACCTCCCAAAATGCTGGGATTGCAGGAGTGAGCCACTGTGCCCAGCCTATTTTTATTTTTTTGAGATAGGGTCTCACTCTGCTGCCCACGCTGGAGTGTGGTGCTGCGATCACTCATTGCAGCCTCAACCTCCTGACCTCAGGTGATCTTCCCGCCTCAGCCTCCCAAAATGCTGGGATTGCAGGTGTGAGCCACCCCGCCCGGGCCCCGCTTTATATTTAGGGTGGCAAACAGCTGGTCAACAGGCGTGTCTGGTTTGGCCTGCATAGTACTTTAACAATTTTGAATTTGCTGCCAAACTTAAAAAAGCAAAACAAAACAAAACAGCTTCCCATAAAAATCCAGACTTCTGGTTACTCTTAAAAACACGACCTGGGCCCACACGCCCCACGGGGAAGCAGCAGCTTGCTCAGATGGGCTCTGGCCCCCTCGGATGCCCTCACTCTTGACACCTATAGGCACCAGGTCCTGAAATCACCACAACCCCCAGGCCACAGCCCAACTTGCTGCAAAGTTCGCCCTGGGGTATCCCGCACCTCCTGTCCTGGCAGCCCCGTAACCTCACCGTGACTTCAGCACCTCTCTCTTCCCGTCACACCTGGGCTCCTGAAAAGAAAGGCTAAACTGAGGCCCCAGCAATAGGAACACAGCCTCAAATGCCCCTCCCCAGCACGGACTCCTATATAAACTACAAGTATCCATCTCAGATTCTCCAGGCTAAGGCCAATTTCCAATGTTCTCCTGGGTCCAGGTCCAAGGGCCAACCAACAAGACCGTCTTAGGGTTACCCGCTGCCCAAGGGGACCCTGCTGCCTCCCTCCAGGAAAGCTCTAATCCCCTCTCCCTGCACTCATTCCTCAGGGCTAGTCCCTGCCTACTCAGGAGCCTGGCCCAGGGCTGGCCTCACCCCAGCTAGGCCCAGGTCTGCTGGACCTGCCATGTGCCCAGTAGGAAGGTCTTCATGCTGAAACCTCCAGAGAAGCTGAGGTGAGGGAGGCGTCAGGCCCAAACCTCCACCTCTCCTGGGACAGACCCTTCTCAGTCCGTACAGCAAGTCGCTGAGGGAACCCTTGGACCAGGCACTGAGGGGTCCCGGCCTAAGCCTACTTTGTTTTTGTTTTGAGACGAAGTCTTGCTCTTGTTCCCCAGGCTGGAGTGCAATGGCGTGATCTCAGCTTACAGCAACCTCTGCCTCCCGGGTTCAAGCGATTCTTCTGCCTCAGCCTCCTGAATAGCTGTTATTACAGGCACCGGCCACCACGCCTGGCTAAGTTTTATATTTTTAGTAGAGATGGGGTTTCATCATGTTGGCCAGGCTGGTCTCGAACTCCTGACCGCAGGTGATCTGCCCACCTTGGCCTCCCAAAGTGCTGGGATTACAGGCATGAGCCACTGCGCCCTGCCTGGTTTTGTTTTTTGAGACAGGTTCTCACTCTGTCACCCAGGCTGGAGTGCAGTGGCATGATCGTAGCTCACTGCAGCCTCAACCTCCTGGGCTCAAGTGACCCTCTGGGCTTAGTCTCCCAAGTAGTTGGGATTACAGGTAAGGGCCACCATGCCTGTCTAATTTTTTTTTTTTTAATTGAGATGGAGTCTATCTCTGTCCCCCAGGATGGAGTGCAGTGGTGCGATCTTGGCTCACTGCAACCTCTGCCTCCCAGGATCAAGTGATTCTCCTGTCTCAGCCTCCCGAGTAGCTGGGATTACAGGTGTGCACCACCACACCTGGCTAATTTTTTGTATTTTTAGTAGAGACAGAGTTTCACCATGTTGGCCAGGTTGGTCTCAAACTCCTAACCTTAGGTGATCTGACCACCTCGGCCTCCAAAAGTGCTGGGATTACAGGTGTGAGCCGCCACACCTGGCCTAGTTTTTCTTTTCCTTTTTTTAAAATTAAGACCGCGGTGGGTCACGCCTGTAATCCCAGCACTTTGGGAGGCCGAGGCATAAATCACCTGAGTTCAAGACCAGCCTGACCGACATGGAGAAACCCCATCTCTACTAAAAGTGGAGCCTGTAATCCTAGCTACTTGAGAGGCTGAGGTAAGAAAATCGCTTGAACCCAGGAGGCAGAGGTTGTGGTGAACCGAGATCACACCATTGCCCTCATGCTTGGGTGACAAGAAGGAAACTCCGTCTCAAAAAAATGAAAAATAAAAATAAAAAAGAGATGGAGTCTCACTATGTTGCCCAGGCTGGTCTCAAACTCCTAGGTTCAAGTCATCCTCCCATCTCAGCCTCCCAGAGTGCTGGGATTATAGGCGTGAGCCACCACACTGGGACTCCAAGCCTATGCTGCAGCCCAAGCCTTCGTCTCCCACAGGCCCCTTCTTTCCTCCTCCAGCACAGGGCCTCGGAATCCTGGCCCGGTTTCCCAAAAGAGGCCCACCATTTTGTTTTCCCTTCTGCCACATTCTGCTTACTTAACACTGCACCGGCCTGTCTTGCTGAAACACCAGACAGAAAACAGGGAAATGAGAGGAAGGCCACAGCTTTTTCTGGGGGTGGGGGAAGTGCCAGGGGATGGTTTGAGGGGGTGTAATTTTAGGGGTCACTGGGGCTGAGGAGAAACCCACCCAAGGCTCACGGGGCCAAATCGTCTGCCAGACACCTCAGCTCCCCTCTGGGTAAAAAAATACAGGATTCCTTGTTAAATTTCCATTTCAGATAAACAGATAATGTTTTCGTATAAGTATGTCCCAAATATGGCATGAGACATACTTACACACAAAAACATTTATTTTTAAAACATTATCTGAAATTTGAATTTAACTGGGTGTGCTGCATTTTTTCTGCTTAAACCTGGCAACCCCACCTCCCGGCCAGTGGTGAAATGCATGGTTGGTGGCCACACAATTAATAAACAACCCAAAGTTTTGTGGGCTGAGTCGAAGACCCAATCCAAAGGCACGGAGAAGGTGGGCGATGGCTTCTCAGGGGCCGGAGAAACCTGGGCAATAAGTCCAAGGCTTTCACTTAGAAGGGGCCAAAAAAAAAAAAAAAAATCAGAAAGCCAAGTTTCTATAAAGTCCACCTTACAATAGGGACAACCCTGAATAACTGCTCCTCCTGCGCCCGTGGCTCGCTGCTTTTGGAGGCGTGACCTCACTGGTCCTCAACAACCCGAGGCGACCCAGAGGCCACGCACAGAGCCCCGGTCACCATGGTTAGAGAAGTGATCATGATATGCCCAAGGTCACGGCAAGAAAGTGAACTGGAAGCCCGACCTCGAGATCCCAACGCCTGAGGTCTTCAGAGGACACGATGTGATGTTTCCCCAAACTCAGGGAGGCGTAGAGGCGCAGCCCCGCCTCCCTCAGCCCCAACTACAGGCCTGGTCCCCGTGGGCTCAGTGGGCTGGAAGGCCTCCAGGCTGGCCACCCTGGGGCCCGCGGGGTGGAAAGCCCCATCTCTCCATCTGCCCTCCCTGCAGAGCAGCTGGCCGCCCTGCGGGAGCAGCTGTCAGAGTGCAGGAGCCTCTGCCCTGCCGGGAACCTGGGGCAGGAGGCCCCACCACGCCTCCCCAAGCAGAGAAAGGCGGCTTGCCGGCTGCTTCCCAACCTTCAGGCCGGCGACAGAAGGGACCCAGGCACAGACACACCAGTTCTTTCTTTGCACAGGGGCTGAGGCGAGGAGGGGAGCCACTTCAGGGTTCCCACGGGGAATCCCACAGTGGAGGGGGCTGCGGGTTGCTTTCTAGTGTGTGTGTGTTGGCCTGCAGCTGTTTCTGCCATTTTTAAATGGCTCCAGTCGGGCACCGGGCGCCCTGCGCACCAGGGGAGCTCCCGAGACATCGACGACTTGGATCTCAACTTTGGAAAGCCTCCCCTTCTCCCGGTTCTGAAAATTCTTTGTCCCACTGGAGTCAAACCCAGCCCACGGCCGGGCATCCGGCCATCGCAGCCAGCCCTTTCCATAGGAGGCCCGAGAGCACGTGGACTTTATTGATTTTCCTCTTGCCTTTTTTGTTGGGTTTGACTCAGAAGGGACAGCTAACTTGTGACACCGCCACACCGGAGGCTCGCCCCCAGTGGCTTTTAGAGACCGAGGCACTACTTGAGAAATGACACCCCTAAACGTAAACATCCCTTGCCAAGGGGCCTGCCCGGCTTCCAGGCTCGAAATAAAGGGTCGGGACGAGCCCGCGGGCGCTGACACTCGGGGCCAGCATCGCAGCGGCTCTTCTCCCTCCCAGACCCCGGTGAAGGCGTGGGAAAAAAATAATAAAGTTGAAATCAGGGAGCGGGGAGTTTTCAACAAGTCTGACCCAACCTAGCGATCTGCTGGCGCCTCGGGCCTGGCCCAGAGGACGATTCCGAGCAGACCCGGACGAGGCCGCGGAGAGGTTCGATCCCCTAAATGACTACCCGGCCACGCCGGGCGGACGCTAACCGGAGACCGAAAACCACGCGCGGCGGCGGCGGCGACAGCCGCCGAGTCCTCCTCACCCCCGTGCAGAGAACAAAAACAACGGCTCCCTCCGCAAAACAAACACGAGCTCGCGGTGTGGAAAGGCAGCCGCGGCCCAGGACCAACGGCTTCTGGCCAAAAACATCTGCTGGCCCGAGCCCCCCGCCCCGGGCGCCGCGCAGAGCGGGGTGGGACGTGGGCGCCCCGCGCCCCTGGCCGCTGGCTCCCGGCGCTCGCCCCCATCTTTCCTGGTCGCCGAGAGCTCTCGCTCCAGGCAGCCCAAAGCGCTAAATTTAAACGGCTCGCGCTCTGCAAACTCCGCAGACTCGAGGGCGCCGGGCCCGGGAGGCGGGAGCGGGCAGCCGGGCGGGCCGGGGCCGGCGGAGAGCGGCGGGGCGCGGGCCAGGGCGCGCGGGGAGGAGACGGCGGCGGCGGCCCGCTCGGAGTCTGCACAATGGAGCTCGCGCTCTCCCCGCCGCCGCCGGCATCACGGCCCCGGCGCGCGGGAAGCCGCTTTCATGTGACTTGCACAAAACGAAATGGCTTCTGGGGCGGGCCCCGAGCCCCCCTCCCGGGAGCCAAGCGCCGCGGTGGGGGCTGCCCGCGGCTCCAACCGCCCGGCCCCGGCGCCCGCCGCCTCCGGGCCGCCGCCGCCGCCGCGCCAGGTGGGCGACAGGAGCGAGCGCACCTGGGCAGCGGCCGCGGCCCCCGCCTGGCGCAGGTGACCCGGCTCGCGCACCGCCCGCCCGCCCGCGCGCCCTAGCCAAGTCCCGGGGCCCGCGGCGGGGCCGGGCCGGGGCAGGCGGCCCGGGCGCTGCGCCCCGCGGCTTTCTGGAGCCGCGCTCGGGCTCGGGGCGGCCGGGGAGGCGGCGGGCGGCAGGCGCCTCCGCTTACCATTTGCGCACTTTCTCGATCGCCGCCATGACCCTCTTGATATCATCTTTGGCCCGGCTCCTGGTCTCGGCTCGAACCGACCTGCCCGACATGGTTCCGGCGGGGAGACGGAGGCTGGGGAGCGCGCCCGCCGGGTCCTGCTCGCGCTCCGCGGCGGCCACACTCGCGCCCGCCCGCCGCTCACTCACTGGCGCACAGACACTCGCACTCTCACACGCACACACTCACACACACACTCACACACACACTCACACACACACACACAAAGCCTGGGGCCGCCGCGCGCTGGGCCCAGTGCGCAAGCGCCGGGCGGCAGCTGCACGGAGCAGGGGGAGCCGCGCTGCTGCCGCCGCCGGCGGTGCGGCCTCCGGGCGCGGCGGCCACCGGGCAGCGCCCCCGGGCCTCCCGCGCCCCCAGGGGGGACGCCCCGGACGCTCTCCCAGGGAGGCGGCTCCGGGCGCGCGGCGGGGGCGGGCTTGAAGTGCGCGCGGACCCTTCCTCGGAGGCCGCAGGTGCCGAGGGGTCCCCGGGAGGCCGCCGGTCTGCGGGGGCGCTGGAGCACGTTTCCTGGGGAGCCGGCTCAGCAGCCCCTGCCTGGGCCTGGAGCGCGGCGGCGGGTGCGGTCAAGTTTCTTGCCGGACTCTTGACTTCCCCGAGTTGAAGGCGCCGGTTCGGGACGCGAGGTGCTCTCGGAAAGAGTTGGGCATCGCGCGTCTCTGCTGGCCCGCGGCCCTGTTCGAATGCGAGCTAGGACGTCGCCTGCCCCAGGCCTTGTCCTTTTGGAACACCGGGTTCGTAGGAAGGTGCCTGGGGCCAGGCAGACCACGAGAGACTCTCGATCATGCGACCTAAAGAATTTCATCGAGCTCAGGAAAAGCTCGATGATGATCAGCATCGTAACAGGGACTCTTCCTCCTGCCCCCGCTTTATCTCAGAAATAAAGCGAGAGGGTCTTCGCTCGGGTTCACCAGAGGACCACAATTTCCCCTTAAGCCACTCCTGACTTCAGTACCAGACTGAGACCAGGCGCTGCTGCTGCCGAAACGACCCTAGCGGGTACAAGGGACTGGTCCCATCTACAAGGAGGACTTTTGAGGCCTCAGAACAGAGCCCCGGAGAGGAATCTGCGATGATCAGGGTAACCTGGGTGCCGCACCTTGGTCTTCAGCTGCATCGGAACCGGCTGGACCAGAGCTAACGCGCGCCTGAAATGAAGTGGGAGACTGAGAGTGGCCCGAATGTCATGCCCTGGGCCTGCCATTTCACAGCTGGGGAAACTGAGTCCCGGGAATGGTCAAGGTTGCAGCCCTGAACATACAACAAGGTTGTAGCTGTCGCTACTCTAGACCAGTTTCCCCTGAGGGTTTGGTCTTTGGGGAAAACGCTACTGAGGAAATGGAGAAACTGCAGGCCTTTTCCTAGGCATTTATTCTTACTATTATGAAACTCAAGCTCCTGACGTGAATAATGAAGAAAAGAACAAATGCTGGCCGGGCGCAGTGGCTCATGCCTGTAATCCCAGCACTTTGGAAGGCTGAGATGGGCGAATCAACTGAAGTCAGGAGTTCGAGACCAGCTTGGCCAACATGCTGAAACCCATTCTACTAAAAATACAAAATTAGCCAGGCACGGTGGCAGGCACCTATAATCCCAGCTACTCTGGAGGCTGAGACAGGAGACTCGCTTGAACCTGGGGGATGGAAGTTGCAGTGAGTGGAGATCACACCACTGCACTCCAGCCTGGGTGACAGAGTGAGACCCTGTCTCAAAAAAAAAAAAAAGGCCAGGCGTGGTGTTCACATCTGTAATTCCAGCACTTTAGGAGGCTGAGGTGGGCAAATCACAAGGTCAGGAGTTTGAGACCAGCCTGGCCAACAGGGTGAAACTCTGTCTCTACTGAAAATACAAAAATTAGCGGGGCGTGGTGGTGCGCGCCTGTAATCTCAGGGACTCCGGAGGCTGAGGCAGGAGAATTGCCTGAACCTGGGGTTGCAGTGAGCCAAGATCATGCCGTTGCTCTCCAGCCTAGGTGACAGAGCAAGACTGCGTCTCAAAAAAACAAAGCAAAACAAAAAGGAACAAATACAAATACCTCAAAGAATCGTTCTGAGGATTTTCTGGGAAAATATGCAACAGCAGGTCATAAAACAGATCTGACAGAGATATGAGATCAACAGATATGTGCTTTGGGCCACACGGAACTTTTAAAAAATATATCTAACAATTTAAAATAGGAAAATATCCTGTCAGAACTCAAATAATGACTGATGAACGGACAAATATGTCTGTCCACACAATGGAATATTATTCAGCCGCAAAAGGGGATGAATACATGCTATGACATGGGTGAACCTTGAAACATGCTAAGTGGAAGAAGCCTGCCACAAAAGGACAAATATTGTGTAAATCCACTTACGTGAGATATCTAATACTAGGTGAATCCAGAGAGCCAGAAATCAGACTGGTGGTTGCCAGGCGCAAGGCGGAGGGGAGAATAGGAGTGACTGCTAATGGGCGTGGGGTTTCCTTTTGGAGTGATAGGAAAGTTCTGGAATGAGATGGTGATGGTTGTAGAACAGTGTGAATGTACTTAATGACCCTGAGTTGTGCACTTTTAATGGTTGCAGTGGTCAATTTTATGTGTATCTGATCACAATAAAGAGAAATCTAGGCTGGGCGTGGTGGCTCACACATGTAATCCCAGCACTTTGGGAGGCCGAAGTGGGTGGATCACCTGGGCTCAGGAGTTTGAGATCAGCCTGGGCAACATGGTGATCTCATGTTCTCTACAAAAAATTCAAAAAGTAGCCAGGAGTGGTTGTGTGCATCTGCAGCCCCAGCTACTCGGGAGGCTGAGGGGAAGATGGCTTGGGCCCAGAACGTGGAGGCTGCAGTCAGCCGAGAGCTCGCCACTGCACTGCAGCCGGGGTAACAAAGTGCCACCCTGTCTCAAAAAAATAAAGAAGAAAGAAAAGGAGAAAGAGAGAGAGAGAGGGATGGAGGAATCCAGAACGAACAGATCTGCAAACTGGACCCCCAGTGCCATGTGGCGCCCATCAGCTAGAGCTGAGGGACCCTGTGCCTTTCAGACAGCGTTCTCTAGAGCTGAGGGACCCTGTGCCTTTCAGACAGCGTTCTCTAGAGCTGAGGGACCCTGTGCCTTTCAGACAGCGTTCTCTAGAGCTGAGGGACCCTGTGCCTTTCAGATAGTGTTCTCTACGTCACCAATGCACTCACAGCCACTTTACTTACTTGTGTTACCTGTCTGGCCCCTAAAGGTATTTGTGATTTTGATCCCCGATAAAACTGTAACGCTTTCTTCAAATGTCCTTTATCAATCTAGTATGTCACTTTTAGTCATTTCCTATTTCCTGCAGGTATTTTTACACTTCTTTCCTTCAACAAAGCATGGTTGTTTTACCGTCTGTGTCTGATGGTTCTAATATTTGAAGTCTCTGGGTGTCTCTGCTAGGTCTTCCTCATGGTGTCATGTTTCCTTGTTATCTGCCTGCTTCTCTGACCATGCTGGACACTATTTTAAAATTTATTCAGAGGGATAATTTGAGGCCTTCCCCTCGAGATAATTTATATTTGCTTCTGCCAGGCTTCCCAGGTCACTGCTAGAGCAGGACAACAAAGCCTGTGAGTCCCTGACCACACAGGTGATACAGATACTGGCTGTGCAGTTGTGCAAGACTGGTTGACTTCTTGTAGTCTGAGGGTGGAGTCGGGGATGTGCTGCAGGCAGTTTACAGGTTTCTGCTTCCCAGCTCTGTGTTCGGTGACCTCATGCTGAGAGTTTGGAATCAGCTGTGGTGGGAGTATTTACACCATGGAAATAAGCAAACAATCTATACGTCAGGACCCTCCTTCCCCAGCCCCAGCCAGAGCTGGTGGTTAAACATTTACCAGCATACCACCAATGGGTGGAGTCCAACGGGGCCCAAATTATCGTGGGAAAGGTCTCCCACTTGGTGTGAGTCGTGGACTTTCGTTTTCTGGCCTTTTGCCCCATAAAACCATTCAAGGTCAAGTTCAAATATGCTAGGGCTGGCAAAGGTAAAAGTGGCTTCCTTGCCAGGTTACTTTTCAGTGTTCTTTTCCTTCAATTTTGGACTAATTTTTCACTATTACTTCTTTCTTACAAGTCAAGACATGGTGGCTTCTAGGATATTTCCAAATAGCTTTCCTACCATTTTTAGTTACTTTGAGAGTTAGTCTGAATAATTGTTTACCAGAAACTGGAAGTCAGGCTCTCAACAAATTTTTGTTGTTGTTTTTTGGTGATGAAGTCTTGCCCTGCCCCCCAGGCTGGAGTGCAGTGGCGTGATCTCAGCTCACTGCACCCTCCACCTCCTGGGTTCAAGCGATGCTCTGCCTCAGCCTCCTGAGTAGCTGGGATTATAGGCACCCACCACCATGCCCAGTTAATTTTTATATTTTTAGTAGACACAGGGTTTTACCATATTGGCCAGGCTGGTCTTGAACTCCTGACCTCAGGTGATCCATCCCCCTCAGCCTCCCAAAGTGCTGGGATTACAGGCATGAGCCACCATGCCCATCCTCTGCAAATGTTTACTATTATTCTAGATATGCTAAAAGAGTAAAAGAGAGGCTGGGCGCAGCGGCTCACACTTGTAATACCAGCACTTTGGGAGGCTGAGGCGGGCGGGCAGATCACCTGAGGTGACCAACCTGGCCAACATGGCAAAACCCCGTCTCTACTAAAAATACAAAAATGAGCTGGGCATGGTGGTGGGCATCTGTAATCCCAACTACTCAGGAGGCTGAGGCAGGAGAATCTCTTGAACCTGGGAGACGGAAGTTTCAGTGAGCTGAGATCGCATCTGTACACTCCAGCCTAAAACAGAGTAAAAGAATGATCCCAGGGTCACAGAAGTGAGTGAGTTAGGTGTGGCTGTGTCAAATGTCTTAACCTCTCTGTGCCTCATCTGTAAAATGGGGATGAAAATAACGATACCCATTTCATAGGGTTCTTATGAAAATTATGCACACTATCTGTCAAGCATGTCGAACAGCACCTGCATGCAGTAGGTGGGTCGTGCGCCACACAACATTCCGGTCAGCAACTCCATATACGACAGTGATCCCAGAAAACTGCAACGTTGCCGGTGACATTGGGTCCATCCTCATGTCATAGCGCAGTTACTGTAATTTATTCATTAATTTGCAGACAGGGTCTTGCTCCCGTAATTATTTATTTAGAGACAGGGTCTCACTCTGCCCAGACTGGAGTGCAGTGGCACCAACCTGGCTCACTGCAGCCTCTACCCAGGCTCAAGTGATCTTCCTACTTCAGCCTCGGGGTAGCTGGGACCACAGGTATGTGCCACCATGCCCAGCTATTTTTTATTTTTATTTTGAGACAGGGTCTCACTCTGTTGCCCAGGCTGGAGTGCAGTGGCAGGATTGTGGCTCACTGCAGCGTTTACTTTCTGGGCTTAAAGCATCCTCCCACCTCAGCCTCGGGGTAGCTGGGACTACAGGTGTGTGCCACCACACTTTTTTCTTTCTTTTCTTTTCTTTCCTATTTTTTCGTAGAGAAGGGGGGTCTCACTTTGTCACCCGGGCTGGTGTCAAACTCCTGGGCTCAAATGATCTTCTTGCCTCAGCCTCTCAAAGTGCTGGGATTACATGTGTGAGCCATCATGCCCAACCAAACTTAATTTTATTTTTATTTTTTTCGAGATGGAGTTTCGCTCTTGTTGCCCAGGCTGGAGTACAATGGCATGATCTTGGCTCAATGCAACCTCCATCTCCCAGGTTGAAGCGATTCTCCTGCCTCGGCCTCCCAAGTAGCTAGGATTACAGGCACCCACCACCGCACCAGCCAATTTTTGCATTTTTAGTAGAGATGGGGTTTCATCATGTTGGCCAGGCTGGTCTCGAACTCTTGACCTCAGGTGATGCACCCGCCTCAGCTTCATAAAGGGCTGGGATTCCAGGTGTGAGCCACCGCACCCAGCTCTAACTTTATTTTGAAAACAAATCTAATGCAGCCTAAGTGTAGAATATTGTAAAGTCTACAGCAGTGGATAGTGATGTCCTGGGCCTTCACATTCACTCACCACCCACTGACTCACCCAGATCACTTGTATTCTGCAAGATCCGTCCATGTAAGTGCCAGTGCAGATGGACCAGTTTGTATGTTTTACACTGTATTTTTACTGTACCTTTTCTATGCTTAGAAGTATTTTGGCCGGGCACAGTGGCTCACGCCTGTAATCCCAGCACTTTGGAAGGCCAAGGGGGTGGATCACGAGGTTGGGAATTCAAGACCAGCCTGGCCAACATGGTGAAACCTGTCTCTACCAAAAATACCAAAAAAAAAAAAAAAAAAAAGT